TGTTTTGACTTTCAAGGATAAAGAAAACCCTTACAAGCACGGGGCCTTAACCAGACAAGCCCAGCTTTGTTACCATTTTCCGTGCTAGAAGACAATGGGATAAGACAGGAGAATTTTGAGGGGAGAAGTTTGAGACACAAGAATTCTATAAACATTTGCACAACCATGAAGGCATTTTCACCTAGGGCAAAGGCTTAGAGAAATTGTCCTTTCTGAAATCACCAGTCACGTGAGAGATGGGTCCAAATGACGAATGGATAACTATAGCATAAAAAACTGGCAGTGACATTGAAAGTAACTAAAAATAGAGCTGGTAAAAGCCAAAACTGATTGAAGAAGTCGTTTCTGTAATGCTGAACCCAGGGCGTTGTGCATGCTAAGCAAGCGCTCTGCCACTGGGATACATCCTCAAACCTTGACAAAAAGGAATCTTTATGGCAGCAGAACTCTGGGAGGATGTGACAGGACGACGGCCCGGCCAATTTGCCAGTTCAGACTCTCTCAAATTTTACCAAAAAAAAGGAGCTCAGTGAGACAGCCCTAGGTTCAGTCCCTAGTACCACACACACACAAATGTAAACAAAAGTTGGGTTTCTCATCCTGGATAAAGTGAACAGATAAAAGGTGTGAAGGTAAAACCCCACCAAAAGTACAGTTATGTGTCAAAAATTTTTCAATTTCTCATTACATAAAAGAGAACGTAAGGGGCTGGGGATTTAGTTTAGCGGCACAGCGCCTGCCTGGCAAGTGCAAGGTTGTGAGTTCGATTCCCGGTACCCAAAGGAAAAAAAAATGTAGACATTTGTCATTAGCTAATTTGAAATATAAATTAAAGGCAGCCACTAGGAGAAGCAAAACCAGGCTTTTTACCTTAAAAATCGTAGAAAAGCAAATGTGGAAAAAATATAGAAAACACCAAGAAATAAAAACTAACATAGAATGACAAGACCAAGGACATCAGCTATTACAGCAGAGATGTAATGTGTTAAATCCCAGACTGTGCTGCGGTTGTTAAGACAGACCCTGGTGCCTCCTGGCTTTTGCTAACCCTGAGCCCTTGGCCCAGCAGCTTGCTTCCCCATAAGGCTAGTACTACAGTTCAAGGCCGACTCCCTCCTCTTGGCAGTCCTGGGCCACCCGAAATCTCTGGACCCACACGCACAGTGAACGCCGCCCGCGCGTGGGAAGCTGGCGCCAAGTCGGGGATTAAGTCTGCACTTAATCGCTCCTTCACCCAGGCATGCAACGCGGAGGCTGGAGCCGCCTTAAGCCGGGCATGGGGCACAGGCAAAGCGCTCCCACCCTGCTACTACTGGGTAGTGTGGCTTTCTTTGCTCCTTCCAGACGGCGAACCTTGAACAGCAAGTTTCAAATCCGCTCCGTAGTTACTGGGCTTTACACCTCCCACAGGCCTGTCCGCAGTCCCTGGGCCCTGACGGGTCTCCCTCCTCAGGTCAGATCCACCTGCGACGGCTCATCCCACCCCCACCTTGCAGACTTGCAGGGTCCCAGGTGCCGCTGGGAGGCTGCTTCCAGGAGAGCAAGCGCAAGAGGGGAATGGGGCGCGAAGCTGAGCTGAGAGCCTTTTCCCCAACCAGAGGGTCTTGTCCCCCTCGCCAAAGATGGAATGGGGAGGCGCAGTCCCGCTAGGTGTTTTGGAGAGGACGAATTAGCGGCTCAGCCCAAGGGTTTAGGAGGGCGGGTGACTGGCGAGGCGGGTGACTGGCGACGGACGGAGGGACTCGGGCAGACTTCCGAAGCCCTGGAGCGGGTGAGATCCGGGACCCACGTGATGGTAGCCTCTCAGCGGCCGAGGGGTTAAGGCGCCGCGCCCCGCCCCAGCCCGGGGATTGGCGGCCCCGGGGGGCGTGGCAGGAGGGCGGGCCCGCGTTTGCCGCAGCCGCTGAGGGGCGGGGCCCGGGCGGGGAGCGGGAGGGGCGCGGAGGGAGCCGGGCCCGTGCAGTGCTCCCCGCCGGGCGGGCTTCGGGCTGCGCCTGCGAGCCGAGCCGGTGGCGCCGCGTCGGAGATCCTGCGCTGGACCCTGAGGCAGCGAGTAAGTGAGGCAGGCCCACCGCGGCACCCATCCTGGTTGCGACCCGCTGCCGTGTCCGCAGTACCTTGCAGCGGGTCTGGCTGGACCCGGAGCAGGGGAAGGGGCGCGTCCCGCAGTTAGGGTCCCGGGGCGGGGGAGGGGTGCTGAGATGAGGCCGATGATGTCATGGATGCTACGCCCGGCCCGGGGAGGGGGGGTGGCGGCCGGAGGGGGTGCGGCCCGGATTATGTCACCTCTTCCCTCTGCGCCCCGCCCCCCGGGGCCACACGCGTTGGTGGGGAGTCCGGGGAGGTGGAAGCGGGATTTCCTCCACTGCAGAAACCCACGGGCAGCTCTGCCGACAGCCTGTGGCCGGGGTCTCTATCTGTTGGCGCAGCGAGCTTTGGGATGCTGGTGAATAGCGAACGTCCGCCCCCCACCCCCAGCAGAGGCTTGTGCGCGCGCGTGTGTGCTCGGGATGGGGGGGTGGCGCGCTGTCGGCCCCCTCAGTCCTGAAACACCAGCTTCATCATAGCCAGGATCTAGGGGGTGGGCCCTCTCCTCTGCCAGTGCCCACGCCTCCAAGGGAAGATGCACCTCTCTTTACACATCCCAACCAAGAAGTTGTGGAGATCTCTGCACCCCAAAAGCCCTAAAGTGCCCCAGGATCCTCCCCTCCCTCCATCCGTCCATCATCCTGGAAGCCCTTGCTGGTTTCTCTGCCTGGATTCATTGAATATTTGCATGGCTTATAACTACTATTCCCACATGCATTAGTCCTGCATGTCTTGGTGCCAGAGCCCAGAGGCCCCTAGGACTCTTGCCCCTGGGGCATCCACCAGCCAGCCGTGGGGTGTCTTCAGAGTGAAATCTCCCTGAGGTGTCTTGAGCCAAATGCACCAAGATTCCTGAGGTATGAGGAATGCTGTCTTGAGCAGCAGCATTTGAAATGGTTCTAGAAGGATATGGGATGGGCACAGAGAACTGAGAAAAGGTTGTGTGTGGAGTGGAGAAGTGCTTAGGTCATGGGAGATATGGAATAAGCATCAGGAGAGGCCTAGGGGAGCCTACCGCAAGCTCTGCTTGGGTCTGGGGACCATAAGGAATATGAAGCATTTTACCCATAATACACATACTTCTTAAAATTCCTGCAAGCTATGTGTGAAAACCAAAGGTGAAATAACCTGCATCAGTCAAGCTGTGATTTACACTTGGAGCTGATGTCACCAGAACTCCATCTACTGCCCTTGACCCTGTTCATGGAAGGATATGGGCAGAGCAGGAACAAGATTGGCTTTGCCCTTTAGAAAGAGTCCCCTAGCAGGTCAGGGAGGGAGTGCAGAAGAAAACCAGTGAAGATTCCAAGCAAGGGTGCTGGCAGGAGTGGCTACTGAGATCTTTAGGAAGTGGAAAGGCCTGGGTTTGGGATTTTCATGACCCCAAGCATTCCTAGCTATGGATGGGCCTGGTTGGTCACAGTAGTTCAGAGGGACCTGCACTTAGCCCCTTTATAACCACTAATACAGTGCACAATGTCTCAGGCACTGAGGTTTGATGGGACAGAGATAGAGGCAGTCAGGCAACAGGCTGTCATCCCATGCTGATGCCACGAGGTTGCCACTGTGGACCACAGTTACTGGGGCCAGTTCAGGACCTTGACCTTTCCCATGCAGTTCTTGCTTATCAGGGAAAAGTATCCTTCTCCTTGTCCTGCTAGCTCCCTGCTGGGATTTTGAGAAAAGCTGCAGCAACTCAAGCATGGGAGAAGCAAGAGGCAGAGAACACTTGCAAGCACTGACCATGACAGTTTAGAAATATGGGCAAGAGCCAGGTATGGTGGCGCATGCCCATAATCCCAGCACTGGAGAGGCTGAGGCAAGAGGATTGCTGTGAGTTGGAGGCCAGCCTGAGCTATACAGTGAGTTAAAGGCCAGTATGAACTACATAGTGAGACCTTGTCTCAAAAAAAAAAAAAGCAAGAATAGGGAAGGAAGCTCCAGGGAAAGCTTACAATCAAGGACTATACAGGTAGAGCACAGAGAAAGGAAGCTCAGGAGGCGGCATCTGAGCTTAATGGGAGGTCACACATATTGTAGGGAAACAGTGGAGTAGAGTGGCCAATAACCAGCCCCCAGCTATGGTCAGGTTCTCCTTTCCTGGACCTCAGAGGAGGTGGTGCTGCATGGTTCTGTTGCACGTTACAGTTTACAAAGCAACTGTCAGACATTACCTGCTATCATGATCCACATGTGCACTTCTGAGATTTGTTTCTGCCCACGCCCAGGCCCTTGGTGTACCTCCCTTGCTAGTGCCCTACCTGGATCTTTATCTTACTAGTGATGCCTTCCTTTGGCATAGCAGCACATTCAAATTTCAACCATATTTCATTTCATTTGCCCTTTAGAAAGAGTCCCCTAGCAGGTGCTTAAAAAAGCACTTGGAGCAGGGTGTGGTGTTACACACTTGTAATCCCAGCACTCTGGGAGGCTGAGGCAGGATGACTGAGAGTTCAAGCCCAGCCTGGGCAATTTAACAACTTAACTATACCTTGTTTCAGAATTTTAAAATATTTTGGACGTGTTGGTGCACACTTAGAATCTCAGCACTCAGGAGGCTGAGGCAGAAAGATTCTTGCAAATGAGGCCAGGCTAGTCCATTAGTTCTTTTTTTTTTTGGTACTGGGAATCAAAGTCGGGACCTCGAGCTTGTCAGGCAGGAGCTGTGCCGCTGAGCTACATCCCTGGCCCTAGGCTATTTCAAGCTCAGCCTGAAATACATAGTGGGACCCTGTCTTAAGAAATAAAACATAAAAATAGCTAGGAGTGGTGACACATGCCTGTAATCCCAGCACTTGGGAGGCTGAGGCAGAAGAGTCACTGTGAGTTTGAGGGCAGCCTGGGCTACATAGTGAGTTTAAGGCCAGCCTGCACTACATAGTGAGACCCTGCCTCAAAAACAAACCAAAACAAACAAAAAAAAAGCACTTGGATCCCAAACCTTCTTAAGTGATGGCCTTCTCTGGCCTCTTTTAGCAGCAAACTCTGCCATCTCTCTGTCTCTGCACCCCTCCATCCCTGTGCTCTGCTTTTGCCTTGCACCACTCTTCTAAAGCCATCTGACATAGACACCAGTGATGTCTTCAGCTGCCAAATCCAGGGCACATTCTGCTATCTCAATTGTATCTGGTCCCTGGCTTTCTTTTTAGCAGAAGTGCTCCCACATTCTTTCTTTGCTTTTGAGACAGTCTCACTGTTGTCCGGGCCTAGCAATGAATTCCCAGGCTCAGGTGGTCCTCGCCAGTAGCTGGGACTGTGAGTGTGTACCACCATACCCAACTTGGTCCCTTGGCCTTTTTTCTGTTCCCACAAGACTTCCCAGAGCTCTGGTGCCCTGCCTCTCTAGCTTTAAGCTGGGCCCACCCACACCACCCTAGGATACCCACAATCCCATTCTCTCTCCCCATTGTGAGAGAGGCATCTTTTTCTGGTCTTCTCAAAAGCACCTATTTCTCCTAGGCAGTCTCCTCTTGTATGTTAAGGGTGTCACATCCACCCTGGTGCCCCAGCCCAACTCCTGCATTATCCCCACCACCTGAATCCCAATTGTTTGAGGTTTTGCTGGTCCCTCCCCAAACCTGCCCAGCCCTTCCCATACCTGCCCAGCCCTTCCCACTGGTTTCAAGGTTCCAGCCATTCAGCCGCTATCCTCCCAGTCCTAACTGTTCCCTACATTGCACCCAAGTATGGCAAGAGAAAAGGGTCATGTTTAGAATTGAAGATTTCTAGGCCAAGGGTTAGAATGCTGGAGATTGGAGTCTCAGTAGGGACTAGGATAATTCAAGAGAGGCCTACCGCACCAAATTTATGAAGGCCTCTCTGAGGGGCAGTGTGTACCTGCCCATCCTATACTTCATCTGAACCCTAAGGCCTCTCTTGCCCCAACCTAGTCCCCAGCCCTGTGTTGGGACAGACTGGCCGGAGGAAGCATGGATGAGAGAATGGAATTCTGCAAAGGCACTGGATCAGCTTGGTAGTGAACTTTCCCACTACCTAGGGCTGTAATTTCTAGTGTGACCAGAAGACCCTGAAAGGTTTTGTCAAGCTGTCTTGGTCTGGAGCCTGATAGGAAGATCACAGCACTGGGCATCTGGGTAGAAGACCTATGCTGAGCACTCAAGGGGACAGCCCATGAATCTCTTTACCTTAATAAGGAATAGGGGCTTCCTGCCTTGTTTCTCGGGCGGGGGGTGCTGGGGACTAAGGGTTAAGGACCTGAAGGGTGCTGCTTCTACTCTCTGGCACACATATATGAGTGGCTAGCCGGGGCCGGCATTGCTCGGCGCCCCTATTAGGCCGGATTATGCAGGTCTCTGGGGCAGGTGATCCCAAATGCGGATTTGAGACAAAGGAACCAGGAAGCAAGGCCACTCTCCAGCACAGGTAACCCGAGGCCCTGCTCCTGCATCTCCTGTGGGCCGGCCTTGGGGGAGGGGGCGCACACCCACAGAACTGGCTCCGAGGACTTCACGGTAAACTGAGCAGGGTCAAGGTCCACAGGGAGAGGGGCGCGGGTAATCCAGGAAGTCTTCCTGGTGGCAGTGCATTCCTAGCAGGGCTCGGCAGGCGCGGGATCCCCTGGGGCGCAGCTGGGCTCGGAGGCCCCGCCCCTCTCCCCCGCCCACCTGTGGGAAACGCTGGCCCCGAGGGAGGCTCCGCCAGCTCCCACTGCTGGCGACGCCGCGTCCCTGCCTCGGCTGGTGCGGGGACCTCTGCAGAGTGCTGACCTCAGGGAGGGGTACTCCTTGGGCCAGGTTCTCGTGCGGTCGCATTGGGAAGATCCCCGGGAGGGCGCCCTCGCTACCCGCCGTAGCGAGGCTGTCCGTCCGCTCATCCTTGGCTGCGCCCACTTGCGACCCCCGCGCGCTCGCCACCGAAGCTCCGCCCACCGCACCCGGGGACCCGTTTACCCCCGCGCCCGCCGCCGCCGGGCGCGTTGCGCACGGCAGCTCCACGAGGTAAGTTCTTCATTCCTCCCATTTCGCAGAGGAGAAAACTGCAGTCCGGAATGGCTCGGTCTGCTCGTCCAAAGTCGCGCAGCTGGTTCGGGCCGAGCCCCTACTGCGAGAGTGAGCCACATGGCCCCTGCAGACCGGGCCTCCGAGGGTCCCAGGCTTGAGGACCTGATAGCCCCCGACCCCTTGGAAAGGCAAGGAGAGAAGCCTGCGCTGGTAGTGAGCTTCCGCTTCTACCCCTGACTGCAACACCCTAGGGTAGGGGGCTGGGAAAGACCTCCACCCTCAGTTTTTGGATAGGGTTGTGTCTCGCCCTCCAGTATCTTCTGAGGTTCCCTATTGGATTCTCTCCCCTTCCAACCCATTTACCTAGCCCATGAGGTTGAGAAAGAGGGGCCTAAATTCTGGGAGTTGCAGGCAAAAGCTAAAGCGGTCCCTGAGTCTGGGAGGCTGGGGTTGAGGCAGAAGGTGCCGAGCTAAACAGAGTAGGGTGTGTGCATGGCGCCCTGGAGCAACAGGCAGTCCCCACTACCAGGCTACCACCGTTACCCAGCCCTATTCCTTCACCTGGGATGCTTGGAACCCTCATACCCATTGTAGGGAAAGGGGACACTGAGGGCCTAGGGCTGACTTGGCTGGGGTGGTGGGAGTGGGAATAGGGTCTGACCTTTGCATTCTCACCTGTGTCCACAGTGCCCTCCTGGCATAGTCATGGCGAAGCTGGAGACACTGCCTGTGCGTGCTGACCCAGGGCGGGATCCCCTTCTGGCCTTTGCTCCACGGCCCTCTGAGCTTGGACCCCCAGACCCCCGCCTGGCTATGGGCAGTGTGGGCAGTGGGGTGGCCCATGCCCAAGAGTTTGCTATGAAGAGCGTGGGCACCCGAACAGGGGTTGGGGGCAGTCAGGGCAGTTTCCCTGGCCCCCGAGGCAGCAGCAGTGGGGCCAGCAGGGAGAGGCCTGGCCGCTACCCCTCTGACGACAAAACTCTCGCCAACTCCCTCTACCTCAATGGCGAGCTTCGGGGCAGTGACCACACAGATGTCTGCGGCAATGTGGTAGGCAGCAGTGGTGGCAGCAGCAGCAGCGGCGGCAGCGACAAGGCCCCACCACAATATCGTGAGCCCAGCCACCCACCCAAGCTCCTGGCCACCTCTGGCAAGCTAGACCAGGTCAGTCACTGGGGCCTAAGACCGTCACAGCCCATTTCTGGGGCGGAAGTAGCCCAGAGAGGAGGGCAAGGTGGGCGTTCTTGTATGAGCCAGGTTGGCAGCTGGGTGGAGGAGCTGTGGGGTGAGCCCTGGGGCCAAGTTCTGATAGTGGATTCAGGACAGAGACCTGGCCTGGGGGAGACATAAGATGAAAACCTGGATGGGGAACCTTAGGGTGGAGATGTGGTGGGGTGGGAGGTGGTGCTGAACAGGTCTTGGCCAGAGGGGAGAGGCTGGGATCAAGACTAAGGCCACATTCTGATGCCCACTCCCCCTGCCTTGCTTTTGTGCAGTGCTCAGAGCCACTAGTTCGGCCATCAGCCTTCAAGCCTGTTGTACCCAAGAATTTCCATTCCATGCAGAACTTGTGTCCCCCACAGACCAATGGGACCCCTGAGGGACGACAGGGCCCTGGTGGCCTCAAGGGTGGACTGGACAAGTCTCGGACCATGACCCCAGCGGGTGGGAGTGGGGGCGGCCTCTCAGACTCAGGCCGGAACTCACTCACAAGCCTGCCCACCTACAGCTCCAGCTACAGCCAGCACCTGGCGCCCCTCAGTGCTTCCACCAGCCACATCAACCGCATCGGCACTGCCAGCTATGGTAGTGGCAGCAGTGGTGGGGGCTCGGGATACCAGGACCTAGGCACCTCAGACAGCGGGCGGGCCTCCAGCAAGAGTGGGTCCTCATCATCCATGGGGCGGCCAGGCCACCTGGGATCTGGGGAGGGTGGGGGTGGAGGCCTGCCATTTGCAGCCTGCTCACCACCCTCGCCCAGTGCGCTGATCCAGGAGCTGGAGGAGCGACTGTGGGAGAAGGAGCAGGAGGTGGCAGCTCTGCGGCGCAGCCTGGAGCAGAGTGAGGCGGCTGTGGCCCAGGTGCTGGAGGAGCGGCAGAAGGCGTGGGAGCGCGAGCTGGCCGAGCTGCGGCAGGGCTGCAGTGGAAAGTTGCAGCAGGTGGCCCGCCGTGCTCAGCGCGCCCAGCAAGGCCTGCAGTTGCAGGTGCTGCGGCTGCAGCAGGATAAGAAGCAGCTGCAGGAGGAGGCAGCCCGGTTGATGCGGCAGCGGGAAGAGCTCGAGGACAAGGTGGCTGCCTGCCAGAAGGAGCAGGCCGACTTCCTGCCCAGGATGGAGGAAACTAAGTGGGAGGTGCGGGCAGGGGACTCCAGCCTTCCCCCTCTGATTTCCCTTCCTTCTGTCCCTCTGGAGGACTCAGGGCCCACATTACTGCAAGGGCGAGGGAACATCACAAAAGATGAGGGAACCAAATCAATCTGTGAAGATGGGAGGCTGTCCCTGGGCAGTGTAAGATGAGCCATGCTGGGTCCTACAGGGAGGTCTGGGTGTCAACCCTGTCCTGTCTGATGTGGGCTGAGCCTGAGCCCTGGGGAAGTTTGGTGCCTTTGGTGCCAGATCTGGGGGTCAGGTTGCGGGGAACAGAACTCTGCCTTGACCCTGGCTTCTTGTCTCTGCCCAGGTATGCCAGAAGGCCGGTGAGATTTCCCTTCTGAAGCAGCAGTTGAAGGACTCACAGGCTGATGTGTCCCAAAAGCTGAGTGAGATCGTGGGGTTGCGATCACAGCTGCGGGAGGGCCGGGCCTCACTGAGGGAGAAGGAGGAGCAGCTGCTCAGCCTGAGGGACTCCTTCGGCAGCAAACAGGCCAGCCTGGAGCTGGCTGAGGGTGAGCTGCCTGCCACCTGCCTCAAGCCGGCGCTGACCCCTGTGGACCCAGCCGAACCACAGGAGGCACTGGCTTCCTGTGAGAGCGATGAGGCCAAGATGCGTCGTCAGGCTGGGGTGGCCTCTGCTGCATCCTTGGTTTCCATGGATGGGGAGGCGGATGCTGGCGGGGAGAGTGGGACGAGGGCTCTGCGGCGGGAGGTGGGGCGGCTGCAGGCTGAGCTGGCAGCTGAGCGGCGGGCCCGGGAGCGCCAGGGTGCCAGCTTTGCAGAGGAGCGCCGAGTGTGGCTGGAGGAGAAGGAGAAGGTCATCGAGTACCAGAAGCAGCTGCAGTTGAGTTATGTGGAGATGTACCAGCGCAACCAGCAGTTGGAGCGGCGGCTTCGGGAGCGCGGGGCGGCAGGGGGTGCGAGCACGCCTACCCCCCAACATGGCGAGGAGAAGAAGGCCTGGACCCCCTCCCGCCTTGAGCGCATTGAGTCCACAGAAATCTGATCCTCCACCTGGGCACGTGGCCCTCTGACAAGTGTCCTGTCTGAAGGCCAAGTCTCCAGGATCCCCTCCCTCCATCTCCCCCATATTCCCAGATCCCCAGACCAAAGAGGTTCTCAAAGCAGCTGTAACCAGGCTCCTCCTGCCCCCTTGGCACCCTCCCAGCTCCAGCACTGCCTGTGTGGGCAGTCCCCTGCACCCTCGCCCTGAGGAGGGCTGTGGGAGGGCTAATTGGGTAAGGTGAGGGCCCAGGTAGTAGGGAGTATGCTCCCCTCTGGGCAGCCCCTTGTTGGAGATGGAGGCGGCAGGCCTGCAGTGCTGGTGAGGTGCCGCAGCCCCTCGGGGTGTGGGCTGCTGCTGTTGGCCACTTGTGTCTAGCGATGCTTTCTGTGCTCACCTCCTAGGCCGTGGAGCCTGAGGGGGCCTACACGGGTCTGCCAAGGCTGATAGACCCTGGGCTCCTGGCCTCTCTCCTTCCTGTGGTGTTCTCCCTCCCTGGGCAGATTGGCAGGACACGTGGGAGCAGATGGCCTGCCTGTGGTTGAGAGGGCTACCTGCCCAGCCCCTCCCCCCCAAGGTCTCTTGGGCTCAGGCCTCAGAGTCTGGCCTGGTCTTGAGTGTGTGTCCCTATGCATGTGTTGGTGGAGGGCAGGGCTGGGACTACCAGCTCAGTGCCCAGGGAGATCTGCCCTCCTGTTCTTGGAAGGGGTTACCTGGAGGCTTAAACCTTCACCCTTCCAGCCAGGATTCCCCAGGGCAACCACCCCAGCTGCTTGGCTGACCCCACACCCAGGGCCACCGTCTGGCTCTAACTACAGCTATTAAGTGCTACCTGCCTCTCAGGCACTCCCCTTGCCTGGTTTCTGAGGTCAGATGAGTGTCTGTGATGTCTTCCTGTGTCTTCCCTCACCCACCTCTCCTAGCCTCCTGCTTTCATGCTCAGAACGTCATCTTCCCAGGCTGCCTCTTCCCCAAAGTCTCACCTTTTCTTCCAGTAGAAAATTCTGCTTGACCTTTGGTGCACTGCGTGCTTCCCAGCCCCACTGGCCCAAGTCTGAGCCTGAGGCCCTTGTTTCAGGGACCCAGGGAGGGTTGGATGTGATTGCCCTTGAAGAACAAGGATAACCTGAGAGGGACACTGTGGTGTTCCCTGCCTAGGCTCTGAGTTGGCTCAGAAATTTGTCCAGGGAGACCTGGCAGGGCCACCAGTAGGGGTTGGGACAGTCAGTATCACTTCCTTCTCTGGGGGGCCCTCAGAGTTTATCACCCCAAGACAGGAAGGGAAATTTTAAGTTCTCTTCTAAGAAAGTAAATTTATAATTCACCAGCAATAAAAATTGGAGGAGGCTTGGCCCTCAGCCCTTGTATTTCTCTTTTTCACTCTCTCTTCCACTCCCAATATTGAGTTTGGGAGCAGGGTAGAGAGAGCTGGCAACTACTGTGAGCAAGTTCCCCCAACCCTGACCAGCCTCCTCCCATGACTGGTGACTGTTTAATGAGCTGTGCATCCCCCACAAAAACAGGAGTGCCCCTCTGTGTGGCCTCTTATCTGCACAGCCCCTTCAGGTGGTCCCCACCGGGTCCCTGAGCTGGGTGGGAGGCCACCCTGGCAACCACTGCCCATTCCACTTACCCCTCACTGCACCTGTCCCAGAACCTGGGCCTGAGCCTCAGGGGCTGGGAGAAGAGAAAAAAGAAAAAAAAAAAAAAAAAAAAAAAGAACAGTCTCAGCTTTGGGATGTCCAACCACAAAATAAATTATATATAAATATATATAAATATATATCTCTACCATATGTGATGGAAAGACTTCGTTTTCCTTTCCCAAAGAAATAAAATGGAGAAAGCCTCTTGAATGGCCTTTTGCGGCCTGCTTGTGTCTTTGTCGGTGTGGGAGGTGAGCCTGGGGGCTGGGAATGTGGAGGGCAGGGCTGGAATAAACATTTCCCAGGGGAGGTGTAAGGTCATAGGTGCTCACTGGGCCATGCCAGGAGAGCTTGGCCCAAAGCCCAACTCCTCCATGTTGCCCAGCAGGAGTTGTGGTTCCACGTTTGTGCCCAGTGGGGCTTTGTCTTCTGCTCACGCTCCCAATAAAAGAGTTTGAAGCTACCTGTAGCTCAGAATTTGGACATCAACCTGCTGGCTAAAAGGCAGGAGATGCAGGACAGCTAGATGCAGCTTACAGTTACTTCAGCCACCTTATAATGATGCGTGATGTTTGAGGGCACAATGCATAGACATAAAGGCTGAGAAAAGGTTTGCAGTTAGTGGCAAAAGGGACCCAAGCATACTACACACCAGTAAGCTGTCTTTTTATACTTCTGTCCTCACGAAGTCCCACAGTTGAGAATGCATTTTGTATTTTGGGAGGGCAAGGCAGGAAGACTGCATGTTCAAGCCCAGCATGAACAGCTTAGTGACTTAGACCCTTTCTCAAAACAAAAAAGGGCTGGAGCTGGGTATGGTGGGGCAAGCCTGCAATCCTAACACTTGAGAGGCTGAGGCAAGAGGATCGCTGTGAGTTTGAGGCCAGCCTGGGCTACATAGTGAGTTCAAGGGCAGAATGAACTATATAGTGAGAGCTCGTCTCAAAAACAAAAAACAAACAAACAAACAAACAAACAAAAAGATGTAGCTAAGCACAAAGGCTCCAGGTTCAATCCCTGGTCCTGGAAAACCAAGAACAAATTTTGTTTTAAGTAACATCACCTGACTTACAGAACTTTAAAGAGTGCTTTATTTTTTTATAAAAGCCTGAAAAAAAAAAAAAAAAAAAAAGAGTGCTTGTTTTCCCCTCACCTAATAAGAAATCTGGATGTGGGTGTCACAGGTTTTGGCTCATCATGGACCTAGACCTGTGATGGCAAACCTTTTAGAGCATTCAATGATATGCATGCCATAGGTTTGCCACCACTAACCTAGACTTTTCATTGTACCCTTCTTTCATCCTCGTTTGTTTCCTCTTTGCCACAAAGTGGCTGCCACAGCTTTGTGATGTGATTGATCTCACCACTTTTATCACAAAAGTAAAAGCTTTCCCAGAACTCTGCCAGCACCCTTTTAAAACTTGTTGGCCAGAATTGAGTCACAACTCCTGGAAATTCAGTATTTGGCAAAGAGGAACAGAACTGTCACAGCTTCCTACGAAGAAATCATAGTTTATCTCCTGGGCCTAGGCTCTCTGGTGTTTTTGGGTACTGCTGGCTTTGTAATCACCAATCGAGTTTTCTCTGGTTAGCCCGCTGACAGAACCCTCCCTAAGCAGTAGCATCAGTGGTCTGGGGTCCCAAAGGTTCACATCTATAAAAGCAGTGCCCTCCATAGAGCTCAGGAGGGCGCCGTGGAGGGAGCATGATTTCTCAGATTTCCTTCACAGTCCTCAGGATGGATGGGCCAGTGTTTCAGGCACTGACAAGGTACAGAGATCCCGATCAGCCACTCTCAAGTGGTACTGACAGGTAGAAGCTCCGTAGCTTGCCTAGGTGGCCAGTATCCCTGACAGGTAGAAGCTCCGTAGCTTGCCTAGGTGGCCAGGCTGACTCAGGCGCTCCCCGCCACCCCCGCGCCAAGTGTGAAAGGCCACAGCTCTGACCCGCTCAAGTGCTAGCTTTGAAACATCTGTCTATCCATCACTAACTCTTCGGCTGAGAGCACGTTACAGATACATCTCTATTATAAGTGCACTCACTGTTCCACTCATCGTGCAGACGATGAGACTGTATGTGAGTTCCCCACTGCCAAAAAACACTGAGTAGGGTTCTGGGGTTTGAACCTGGGTCTGCACTTTTCCATTATTTCCAGAGCGACCCACCCAGGATAGTATTCTCTCTCTGCAGGTCCTAGACTTCCTTCAGTCTCTTCGCGAACGTCCTCCAGCGCAAAACGTCCTTGGAGAACGCTGACAGCCTTTTGAGCCTCCGCCGCTCCCGTCAGTGCCCCGCAGGCGGAAGTAGAGCGCAGTTGGCCGGAAGTGGGACTGTAGGGAGGCTAGGAGTCGCCGGAGTAGTGTGTGTGTGGCCAGAGCCCGGAGTATCCCGGGTTTATTATTGCGGACCGCGCCTTCTTCAGGCTCAGGTGAGTGGCAGCGGCCGGCAAAGAGGTTGCGGAGGCTGCTCCTTGCGATTGCGACCGCTCTTGCTTGACTGTGTCTCCGCCTTCCTGGTTGGACCAACGTCCGTGTGTCCCTAGGCCGGATGGTGCGCTTCCCTGCCAGTGCTGGTGCGGTGTACGCCTCTGTGGGCCCTGCTCTGCGGAGTACCCCGGCAGCCCTCACCACTCGGGAGTTCTGTGACCTTGGGGAATACATTTACCTGCATCTTGATTTTTTTTTTTAACCCTGTCCAATAGAGATGCTAACAGTATGTGCCTCATGGCTATTGTGAGAACGTAGTGAGGCATTCTGCCGCAGCACTTCTTGTACTTTCATATGCATGAGACGCCCCGGGGAATTCTGATTGAGCAGGTCTGAGACTGTTTCTAATCAGTTTCCACATGTCACACTTTGAGCAGCAAGGCTCTGCGGTGTTTTGGTTAGTATTTGGAATGGGGTAAGGGGCTGGGAATATAGCTCAGTGGGACAGCACCTGCCTGGCAAGCGTGAGGTCGTGAGTTCGAATCCCGGTACCAAAAAAAAAAAAAAAAATGGGGTGAGTCTTAAGTAAATATTAATATGCTATATGCCTTTTCCCCATTTTTAGCAGGCAGTTTCTAGTTGCAGACGCTTAACTTAGGGTACTATTGTTGTGCCCTCCATCTTTTCTTTCCAGATATAGGAAACAGTTTGTTTTTGTTTTTTCTGTGGAAATCATGACAAAACTCTTCTGCCCGGACTTAAGGAGCTTTGGGCGGGTACCCTTTACCAGGTACTTCATCAGTTCTTAGGCAGCGCTTCATTGCTCTCAGTATAAGCCATTGGACCGTGCTTCAAACTGTGCAACTCATAGCCAAGTGCTTTAGCATTAACTGTGGCTGGTGTTTTGAGCTCCAGTCCTGTTTTCTGCACTTTGGGCACAGTTTGAGTAGTAACAACAACTGTCTTTTCAGAGCTAGGTTGTTCACCTTAGTGGACCAAATGACCTTGAGTAAGCCTTTGCATTTGTTCCTGTCTGTAGACCCAAATAAAATGAGGACCATTGCATCATACAGCAGAAAAAGTGAGGCCTTAGGCAGTGTGCAAGATTGATATTTATTTGTCAGTGTGGCTTTTGTCCCCCACTAGTAGTTTATTTTTCTGGTCACCGACAAGACCTTGTCACTTATCTTGTAAGTCAACGTTTGCATAAAACAACTCTGAAGTTCCTCCTTTGTTTGGAACACTATACTCTGCTGTCTCACAAACTGGAAAAGCAGCTAAAACCAAGAGTGCTGAAAGTGACATATATTGAGACCACTTATTTAGGAGTTTTCTTTTAATACTATGTACATGCCCAAACCTTTTTTTAAACTGCCCAGATTTTGTCATCCCTCTGATAGTTTCATTAGATGGGCCAAGTGGACATGAGCTTCTGCTCCCTGACGTTATATGGAAAGACTTACTTCCTTTCTGTCAGTATTTCTTCTTCCTGGGTCTTGCTTTGTAGTGTAGGTTGGCCTTGTACTCACTATGTAGCCCAGGTTGGCCTCCAACTCACAGTGATCCTCCTGCTGCAGCCTCCCAAATGCTGGGATTACAGGCATGTACCACCATCCCTGGTTTAGAGAGAGTTTCTAAAAATAGGGTCTTGGCCAGGGTGGTGGCACATGCCTGTAATGGCTACTTTCCTCTGTCTGGCTTCCCTTCTTTAACTTCTGGACTCTAGTTTAAAAGGAAACTATTTGGCTGTTCTCAGACCTATACCTGAAAAGTAAAAAGGAAAGATTACTTATTCCTAGTCCTGTGCAGTGGCACATGCTTGCAATCCCACCGCTCTGGGAGCTGAGGCAGGAGGATTGAAAATTCAAATCCTGCCTGGGTAACTTATTGAGCTTCATCTCAAAAAATTTTTTAAAAGAAGGGTTAGGGACATAGCTCAGGGTAAAGGCCCTGGGTTCAATCCCCAGTATTGAAAAAAAATTCCTTGGTCATCATTCAGGATGATGAGGGTAGTACCTTTTGGAAATATCAGCATCCAAGGCTGAGTCTCCTCCCTAATTCATTAGGATCCCTAAAAAAGAGGGAGGAGGGTAAATTGGGGTACTTAAACTAAGAAAGGAGTTTATAATGTGATGTCAGATGTCTTTGAGCCTTTTGTGAAGGAGCAGAATCTCATGAACATCTCATAGTGTTTGTTTGTTTGTTTTTGAGACAGAGTCTTTCTCTATAGTCTAGGCTGGCCATGAACTCACTGTGTAACCTAGGCAGGCCTCAAACTCATAGCAGTCCTCCTGCCTCAGCTTCCTGAGTGCTGGGATTGCAGGCATGAACCATGATGCCTGGTTCATAGTATTTTCTTGTGGCTTCTCTGTTAGTCATTAAATAAGGAGGAGTTCTCACTCAGATGTTTTCTCTACATGAACCCCAACCGCATCTACCTCCTCATCATTGCAGTATCTGTCCTCCCCACTTCCTATTCTACTGCTTTTCTGCCTTATTTTTCTTCCTTTCCTTTTCCACAGTACTCAGAACCCAATTTCTGAAATGGTTATATTTCAGACCACTGTATGGAGTCTGTAGTGTAGCTCTTGAAGTTGCCTGGTGAAAAAGTATGCAGGTAAGGCTTGCCATTTGCAGTTTGGTTCCGCATGCCTCCAAGATTCCTTGTCATTTACATTCCTGTTACCTGGGATTTATAAAGAAATCCTTGAGTTCAAGGCCAGCCTGGACTGCATAGCAAGACCCTGTCTCAAAAAGCCAAGAAAGGGCCGGGGATATAGCTCTGTGGCACAGTGCTTGCCTGGCAAACGCAAGGTCCTGAGTTCGATTCCTCGTACCAAAACAAAAAACAAACAAACAAAAAACCAAACAAAATAACAACAAAAGGCTGGGGGTATAGCTCAGTGCACAGTGCCTCTTGGCAAGTGAAAGGTCCTGAGTTCGATTACCAGTACCAAAAAAAACAAACAAACAAAAAAAACAGAACCCAACAACAAAAACCTTCCACAACAGCCAGGTAGGTCAGTAGAGCTTATAACTAAATGTTAATGTTTTTTCCCCTTTTTGCCTTCATTTTTGTTGTCCAGAAGCACTTTCAGTATTTCTTTTGCCGTTTCTAAATAACCCATTTATGTTGTATTTTTTTTTGTGTTATGGAGATAGGGTCTCACTTTGTTGCCCAGGCTGTTCTTGAATTCCTGCATTCAAACAATCCTGCCTCTGTCCTGAGCAATTGGTTTGGATTTTTTTTTTTTTTTTTTTTGGAACTGGGAATCGAACTCAGTACCTTGGGCTTGCCAGGCAGGCACTGTGCTGTTGAGCTATATTTCCAGCCTCTGACCTGAGTAATTGGGACTGTAAATTTTGGAGTTTGTTTTGCAGTGCTGGGGATCAAACCCAGAACTTTCTGTATGTTAGGCAAGTACTCTATTACTGAGCTATACCCACAAACCCATATTGATATATCTTGCTTTCTAAGTTGTGTGTATAACCTTTTGACATCTTTATTATGGATTATGAGGCTGTAGACATACCTCCCACCCCTGTCTCTTCTGATACTGGGGGTTGAACCCAAAGTTTTCACATCAAGCTACTGTACATCTTCAGCCCCTTTTTTTATGTTGAGACAGGGTTATCTCTGTGTTGGGTTGCCCAAGGCGCGGTCAAACCTGTGATCCACTTGCCTCAGCCTCACAGAGTCCTGGGAATACGGACGTGTAGGTCACCATATCCAGCTGGAGGCACTGGGTCTCTTATCCTGCCCTATCTCCTTTTACCCTACTTCCTCTCCCTATATCTTTCCAGTATAGCTTGCTGGTAATTTTCAGCTAGGCTGTTGCTCCAAGTTTATATTAATAAAATAATATAAATATTAACACCTGAGCGGGGTGTATAACATCACAACATTTTCTATCTTATACAATTTTTTTTTGTCTTTCCTGGAGTTAATTATTTTTGTTGTTACTCGCTTGATTTTTCTGTTACTCATTTGTTCCCAAGTTATCCATTAGAACTGTAATTCTTTTCTTCCAGGTACTCTCCATCTCTTCCCGTATGAACTGGAATAGAGCTGTTGTTACTCTTCTCATCTGCTTGCAGCTCTTGTACAGATATCTTCCTTTTCTTTACTAATCTTTGGTGTTGAACCCTAATTTTTGCATGCTATATCCCTCCTGCCAGCTTTCAGGTCTTCAATGTGGTAACTCTCTTTGCTTTGATCCTGGGACATCCTGCAAAACCCAAGTCTTCATAAGGATTTCAGTCTTTGAGGTCTTGTCTTTGTTCTTTTTTGTAAATCATGTAACTGTAGCAGATCCTAGAAAACTAATTGCTAGAAGTAGGAGGGACTTTAGTTGTTTATTTACTTATTTGTTTACTTTTTTTGTCTTTTTGAGACAGGGTCTGTGCAGTTCAGGCTGGCCTTGAGCTCACTTTGTAGTCTAGGCTGGTCTTGAACTCACAACAATCCTCCCAAGTACTGGGGTTATAGGCGTGCACCACCACACCTGGCCTAGTTGTTTATTTTTTGAGACCAGGTCTCTGTAATTCAAGTCACCTTTGAATTTGTAACCCTCCTGAGTCAGCTCCTCTGAGTGCTGGAATTACAGGCTTGTATCAGTGCTCTTGGGAGGGGATTTTGTGCATTCCCACTTTTAAGCCTTCAGCTGCCTGCTATCTGGAAACCCTAGAAGACCATAGATCATTTAGCTGTACTGTCCAACCCCAGATCTGGCCCTTGTATTTCCTGACTGCCCCCATTCTTGTCTTTATATACCAGTAATATAGGTTTTAGAGTCAGACAGTCTTGATGTCAAGCCCCACTCAGTCCTTTGGCTGTGTAACTCTGTGGCAGGTTTCTTTACCTTGTAAATTCTATTCATAAATAATACGGAGCTAGTAAGCTCATATTACAGAAGGGTTGTAGGGATAGGAACTAATGCAGATAAAACAGCTTGTACAAGACTTTGAGACTTATCTGGGCATGGTAGGACATCCTAGTAATCCCAACACTTGGGAAGCTGAGGCAGGAGGATCACTGTGAGTTCGAGGCCAGCCTGGGCTACATAGTAAGTTCAAGGTCAACTTAAACTACATAGTGACACGCTGTCTCAGAAGAAAAAAAAGCTGAGCCTTGGCACAGAGGCAGTAAGGTGATTGTGGCTCTTGTTGTTTGTGTCTTGGAATTTAATCTCCCTTTTCCCACAGTACTGGGAATTGAACCCAGGCTTCACACATGCCAGACAACCACTCTACTCTCAGCTACATCCCCAGGCCTTTTTTTTTTTTTTTTTTTTTTTTTTGAGACAAGGTTTCTCTAAGTTGCTCAGGTTGGCCTTGAGCTTGTGATATTCCTGCCATAGCCCCTTGAGTAGTTAGAATTACCAATGTGTGCCGTTATGCTTGGTCTTGGCCTGTGTTTATATTTTTTTGAGACAGGGCCTTGAACTCACTGTGTAACACAGGCAGGCCTTAAACTCATGATTCTGCTGCCCAGCGTCTTGACTGCCTGGATTATAAGCAATTCATGTGCAGCTTTGACCTGTATTATCAAAAATCAAAAAAGCCACATCAATTCAAAATAGTGACTCTACACCAAGCATTGATGTTCTAGACAGTTTTGTTTTATTTTAGAATGATGTATAATAATTTTATTAATTATTTTGAGTTAGAATTAGGTAATTATATAGAGGTATTTGTTAATTTATGTACTCATCCTGGTTAACAGTTCTAAGCTCCCAAAAAGAGAGAAAAAATTAATTTATCAAAGATAACAGAAAGTCTTACCACAGAGAAGCTATGCAGTTAATTTCCTTTTTTCTTTGTTTGTTCTTTTGAGACAGGGTTTCACTATGTAGTTCAGACTGGTCATTATGTATCTCAGGCTGATCTTGAACTCATAGTGATCCTCCTGCCTCAGCTTTCCGAGTACTAGGATTACTGGTGTACATCATCACATCCAGTCTTTCCTTTTTAAGAAGTGTATTTTAGGTGATGGCACTTGTTTATATACTTTTATTCCACAGGAGATTTATGTATGCATTTCCATTTGCTGATATTTGCCACATTTATACCACTGTAAACTAGCCTCTTCTATTGGATAAACATTTAAGTAGAACACTTTATTATTTTAGGGTATAGTACATCTGTTTTGTAAAAAGTAGGTTTTAAAAGTTATTTCCAATTGCTTCTCAGCCTTTTAGCTAAGATCAAGTGTAAAAGTTATTTCCAGCTAGGTGTGGTGGTTCACATCTATAATTCCAGCACTCTGGGAGGCTGAGACAGGAGGATTGTAGGTTTGAGCCTAGCCTGGGAGATTGAGCAATATTCTGTTTCAAAATAAAAAAAATATAAAAAGGGCTGGGGATGTAATTTAGTGGAAAGTCCCTGGGTTCAGTCTCTAGTACTGAAAAACACTTGATCTTAGCCAAAAGGCCAAGAAGCAGTAGTACTGAAAAACAAAACAAATAAAAACAAAAAACAATCTAGTTATGTCATAAGATCTGGTTTGCAAAATGAATGAAGGAATTGAACAGTTTTTGGCTATGGTTGCATACTGTGTTAGACTAAATTTTAAGTTCCATAGTCCAAAGCAGGTCTTCATAAAAACTCAATAGCTGGAGCATTCTGTTTCCTACTTTCTCTTCTATTGTTATCCTGCTTGTGCTATTGTGTTGAGATTGCTTGTGACTATTTTGAAGCATATAATTTTTTTTTTCCATTTTGTGGTGCTTGGGATAGAACCCTGTAAGTCATTCCAGCCCCCTCAGAATCCCAGTCTGATTTATCCATTGGCGGCTTAGATCTCCTCTGGTTCTGCCTGTCAGGCTTTGGCGCCTGAGTGGAAAGAAAGAATAAACATTGAGGAAGGCAGGAATATAGCAGTCAGGTCATAGCCTCTCATGATTTCTACCAGGGGAACATGGGAATGGTACTGCTTATCGCCATAGCGAGGATACTGTGAGCCCTGACTTAGTGGAAGCATTGCTAACTGCATCCTCCAGAAGAAAGCTGCATGGTCCCTCTAGTGTGTCAGCAAGATAGTTGTGTGAATGAACTCTGAACCTAGAGCTTCTGAACCTGGAGCCCAACTTTGAGTGGTTCTTTGCTTCCTGCCCATGAATTAACAGTGATCAAGACCTTGCTTGGCCTTCTACTTTCTCCTACCAATGAGTGAGGTTTTTGAGGGTTGGTTTTTTTTTTTGGTTGTAATGGTGTTCTTTGTTTGTTTCTTTGTTTTGCAGTTCTGGGGATTGTACCAGGGTGTCATGCATGCTAGGCTAGTGCTTTGCCACTTAGACAAACCCCAGGCCAACATAACTGAGTTTCTGAGGATGCTTCCTAGTTGCATGGCTAGTCTGCAGTACTGATTCAGATTCTGTTAAAAGACCCTGGAGAGAACAATCAGCATATTCTAAACGGTATAGAAACAGTGTTAGAATGACAGAATTCTGTAATTAGAAGTTAGTACTATAGAACTGGGAGGGTTACTAGGGTGTCATTAGTTAAACCTTATACCAAATCCCACTTTGTTTTTTGTGCAGCTACAAACTTCTTTATTCTCCAAGTATGACCTTTATGTGTTGATGTGAAGCAGCTAGAATGAATCGTTCACTTTTATTCCTGGCTTTCTCTTTAGAAATCTGCCCATCTCATTCTATCTTTTTTAGTACATGCTTGCAGTACATGCTGGTTATATTCATTGTGAGGAATTGGTACATGTACATAGGACATCTCAATTCTTTTTTTTTCCCCTTCCTCCTCCACCCTTGTTTATTTATTTATTTTTTGTCAGCATCAGATTCATTTATTAATTTATAGCTTTATTAAGTTAATTTTCATAAAGACAAATTAACAGCCAGATTACCAGGCCAAAAAATTAAAACACATAAGACAATTAATTTAAATCAAGGTACACTTTTAGATACATTGCCTTCCTCATTCTTGTTGAATGTTAGCAGAGCAACTTGCATCTCTTTAGCCATCATTGCTCCCCTTTTGCGAGGAAGATTAGACTGCGCAGCGGTCTAGGAACTACCCAGTGGTCCCTAGAATCGGGGTTTCCCTGTGGCCTCCTGTGAGACAGAGAGTTTATCCTTGATAAATGCTGTTTTGTGATTTGGGCATTCACTAGCATTAAACTTATTTGAGTGGATGCTAGAGTAGTTTCAATCTTACTTCTTAAAATGTGGAAATTTTGGTGTTGTGATAGGTGGAAGCCACTCATTCTTCATCTACCCTTTTTTCAGTATCTGGCCCAGGCATTTGTCATCCATGGCTCTTGTGATATGCCGAAGATGTCCAGGCAGTTTCTGTGGAACATCTCCTTGCCCAGCTCTAATCAAGCACCATATAAACAAGAAATTGCCTGGTCACACATGTGAGGACTGTGCTCTCACTGCCAAAAAGATCAGTACTGACAGAATGGCAGCCACTGTCAAGTTATTAAAACCTTTAAAATATCAAGCCTTTTGCAGTCCTATTGCCTACAGTGCAACCCAAAGTATGCTGTATTGGAGTATGGGAAGCAGCAGGTGGTACAGGGGACAGGACCATCCAGAGCACAGTGGTCCCTGCCATCCTGCCAGAAGAGTGAAGACCATTGGTGGCACCTCCTCTTCTCAGAGAGTCCTCATAACCAACAGCACCCTTCTGGGCTTGGGATTTCACAAGGCTTTTGCCTCGAAGGCCAGCACATTGCAACTGGGTTTGCCCAGGACTGAGAGAGCTGATGAAGACGATGTAGAAGTTTTTGATTCCTTTAAACACATTCGAGTTTTCCTTCAGCTAAGGCCAGAGTACCAGCTTCACAGCTATAACAAATCAGAGACTTGTCAACCTCTATCTGTTTCAGAGAGTGAACTAATTTTGCACAAAGTCAGAGTGAATCAAAATAACCTCCAGCCTCAAACCATTGTTGATTATTTCTGTAAGCTGAGTTCTTTGCCTGCAGAGCAGTGTCCCATTTTGCTGTCGAGTGCCAGCTTTGCTCTGCTCTGCCAGCTAAGTGTAGAAAATATAAAACTCTTTGATATCCCAGGTCTGATCAGTATTTTAAAAGCTTTCGTCAATTTAGAAATCCCTCACTCCCACCCAATGCTGGATGTGTATGAAACCAGATTCGGCCATCATGTATGGGAGATGAGTCTGGATCAGCTTCTCTTGGTGGCTGATCTCTGGAGGTGCTTAGGCCGCAAAGCACCTCGGTTCGTGAAAATTTTTTTTAGTTATCTTAATTTGCACTGGAAAGATCTATCTTTGTCCCAGTTGATTCACTTAATTTATATTATAGGTGAAAATCGTCAGGTACCACAGGACCTAATGCAAAAACTAGAATCATTGATCCTTAAGTATATTGATTTCATCAACTTAGAGGAAGTTGGTACAATCTGTTTGGGCTTCTTTAAGTCCAGTAGTAGTCTCTCTGAATTTGTCATGCGGAAAATTGGAGACTTGGCTTGTGCTGACATGCACCGTCTAAGTAGTCACGCCTTAGTGCATGTTCTTAAAATGTTCCGTTTCACTCATGTGGATCATGTAAATTTTATGAAGCGGTTTGCAGAGATTGCGCCTCAGAGAATTCCTTCCCTGGGCGTTCAGGGTGTCATGCACTTGACTCTTGCATGCTCAGCCTTACGTATGTTGGATGAAGGTGTAATGAATGCAGTGGCTGCCTCTTTGCCTCCTCGGGTAGTACACTGTCGATGTAAAGATATTGCCAAAATTCTATGGTCATTTGGAAGTCTGAATTATAAGCCACCCAACACAGAAGAATTTTATTCCAGCTTGATAAATGAAATTCACAGAAAGATGCCTGAATTCAACCAATACCCAGAACACCTGTTCACCTGCCTGCTCGGTCTGGCATTTTCTGAATACTTTCCAGCAGAGCTTATCAGTGTTGCTCTGAGTCCAGAGTTTGTCAGGTTAGCTCAAGACAGCTGTAAGTATGAACTTACTAAGGAACTGTACACTCTTGATGGTACGGTTGGCATTGAATGTCCAGATTACAAAGGTAATCGTCTTAGTTCTCACCTTCAGCAAGAGGCATCTGCAAATCTGTGGGATTTGGCAAGGAAGGATATGAACTCAAGGCCTGAATTCCTAGAAGCTCTCTCTTTTCTTGAGATCATGTTAGGTGGCCCCCAGTATGTCAAGCACCATATGATTTTACCTCATACACGATCTTCTGACTTAGAGGTGCAGCTTGATGTTAACATGAACCCGCTACCATTTAACAGAGAAGCCATACCAGCTGAAGACAAGGTCAATTTAAAGCTTAAGCGTGTGGGAGTCAGCCTTACAGATGATTTGATGAATCAGTTGCTAAAAGGGAAAGCAAAAAGGCATTTTCAGACAGAAATTGAGTCAGAGACTGGGCAACGGCCCATGAAGTTGGAGAAGGCAGCCTTACCATTGGGGAGCTCCCTTTGCAATGTGACAGATGGACCAGGGGCTGTTGACATGCCTGGCCTATGTCCTCTAGTCCATACGCAGGCCCCACCAGTGAAGCTGGCCATTCAGTTCACACATAGGAACCAGTATTGCTATGGTACAAGGAATCTACTTGGACTGCACAGTATGAAGCGGCGGCAGCTGGTTCGGCTTGGGTACCATGTGATTGAGTTACCCCACTGGGAGTGGTTCCCGCTTTTGAAACGAACTCGCTCAGAGAAGCTGGCATTCCTCCATGAAAAGGTGTTCGCCTCTGCTCTCTGAACAGTCTTCAGGAGCATTTCTTCTCAAAAAATGTGTAGGTGTATATAGTACAAGGCATATTTTTTTTTTTTTGGTTTTTCTCCGGTACCGGGAACCGAACTCACGACCTTGCGCTTGAGAGGCAGGCGCTTTTGCCGCTGAGCTAAATCCCCAGCCCCAGTACAAGGCATATTGATGCTGAAAAAATTTCAGATTTTGGAGCATTTTGGATTTTAAATGTTTAGATTTAGGGGTACTCATGGTAGTCTATGCAATTATTTCCAAATCTGAAACAACCTGAAATCTGAAACGCTTCTGTTCTTAAGCCTTTTAGATAAGGGATACACAACCTGTATTGCAAAATAATTATAAATGCCAAAATATAAGTGTGATAATAAAATAATCTGTTGAGACTTGTGCTCTTGTCTGTGGCAGATGGACCTAGTATATGTTACTATGAATTAATTATAACCTGTAGGAGTAGCAACTTGCTGCTAACTTGTACATATTACTCTTAGGTTTTTTGTTTTTTTTTTGTCTGTTTGAGAAAGGGTCTCACTATGCAGTTCAGGCTGGCTTTGAGCTCACTTTGTAGTCTAGGCTGGTTTCAAACTTGGAACCATCATCCTGTCTCAGCCTGCCGAGTGCTGGGATTACAGGTGTGCGCCACCACGCCCAGCTTTTTTTTTTTTTTTAAATTAGGCTAAGGGCTGGGGATTTAGCTCAGCGGCAAAAGCGCCTGCCTGGCAAGCGCAAGGTCGTGAGTTCGGTTCCCGGTACCGGAGAAAAACCAAAAAAAATAAAAAAAATAAAAAAAATAAAATTAGGCTACTTTTTTGTTATTGTTTTTTTTTTGTTTGTTTTTTTCTGGTACCAGAAATTGAACTCATGACGTCGTGCTTGCCAGGCAGGCACTGTGCCACTGAGCTAAATCCCCAGTCCCTTTTTTTTTTCTTTTTGAAACAGGATTTTAGCCAGGCATGGTGGCGCACACCTGTAATCCCAGTACTCGGGAGGCTGAGGCAGGAGGATCCTTGCAAGTTCAAGGCCAGCTTGGGCTACAAAGTGAGCTCAAGGCCAGCCTGAACTGCATAGCGAGACCCTGTCTCAAAAAGACAAAAAAAAAAAAACAAACAGGATTTCACTATGCAGTTCAAGGTGGTCTTGAACTCACTTTGTAGCCCAGGCTGGCCTTGAGCTCGCAGCAATCCTCCTGCCTCAGCCTTCCAAGTGCTAGGATTATAGGCATGCACCACTATGCCCAGCTACTTTTAGTAATAATAAGCATCTTTTTTTGTTTTGTTTTTTTCTGAGACAAAATCTTGCTATGTAGTTTAGGCTGGCCTTGAACTCATGGTGATCCTTCTACCTCAGCTTCCCAAGTACTGGATTATTGGTATGTGCCACCACACCCAGGTACATTTCTACTCTTCTTGCAGAAATTCCCCTTTAATTGTCCTCTGTTTTCTTAAAATTGGAGCTCAGAGAAGAGAATTATGTAAGTGCCTGTCAGGCCTGTGGTTTCCACATCTGATGAATGTTTTTTATGGCAAGTAGCTCAGACAAGAATAAAATAAGCTACCTCTCAATTTAGGAAGTCCATTAGGCTTCAGATTTGGTTGAGTCAGCCTTGCTTGTATGAAAGCCACCAACTGGAGGAGATATTATATTTATAAATGTAGCATACTATAGGTAACATTTGTAAATCCTTGGGGGTCTGTGAGCATTTTTTAAAAATATTTCTTATCTAGCTATGTATCTATTTATTTATTTATTTATTGTTTTTTTGAGGCAGGGTCTTGCTGTATAGTCCAGGCTGGCCTTGAACTCGTGACAGTCTTCCTGCCTCTGCCTCCCGAGTGCTGGGATCACATGCATGCACTATCATGCCTGGCTGAGAATTTCTTTTTTTTTTTTTTTCCTGAGAATTTCTTTTAAAAGGGCCCCTCCCACCATTATTCAGGTCTCCTCTCAAAGATCATTTCTTCTGAGAGGACCTCCGCATCCATGGTTACCAAAATAGCACTCCATTGAGTTTGATAATGATCTGTCAAATCCTGCTATTTTGCTTAATTTATTAGCTCAAATAGTTTTTGTTGTATAGATTCTTTAGGCTTATGTTATCTGTATGTAAAAATAATTTTATGTCTTCCTTTCCAGTTTGGAGTTTTCTTACCTATTTGCTCTAGCAAGAACTTACAGTAAAATACTGAATAGAAGTAGTAAAAGTAGACATCCTTGTTTTGTTCCTGGTCTTAAAAAAAGTAATGCTTTCACTTTTTCATCTTTGAGTTTGTTGTCACTTGTGGGTTGTTTATAAACATTTTATAGTGTTGAGAAAGTTCCTTTTTTGTTCCTAGTTCCTAAATGTCCAGTAAATGATGTTTTTAGTGTAATGTGTCCCAAATAGTTCATGGGGCATTCTGATAAAAAAAAAAACAAAACATTGTTTATCTGATGTTCATGCTGGGTATGGTGGCACATACCTATAATGCTGGCATATGGGAAGCTAAGGCAGGAGGATCACCACAAGTTCAAGGCCAGCCTGAACTACATAGTTCAGGTTTAGGTTTGCATAAATTTAAATTTTATTTTTATACCAGGCATGGTGGTGCATGCCTGTAAACCCAGCACTCAGGAGGATGAGGCAGGAGAATCACCAAAAATCCAAGGCTATCCTGGGCTATACAGTGAGTTCAACGCCAGCCTAAGCTACATAGTGAGACCCCATTTAAAAATAAAATAAAATAAAAACTTTATTTTTATTAGCTAAATCTGGCAATCCTAAAAACGCACAGCATCAAAACAAGATGTTTTGGGAGGTGGGGGAAAGAAGAGACCAGAGATAAATTTGGAATTCAGGAGAGAGGTCAGAACATATAAAATAAATCCCTAGAGAAAATGGACAAGATTAGTTAGGTTTGTATGTATAGTCCCTGTTTAAAACCTCATCTGAAATCCCGTAAAATTTTGCTGATGTTATTAAGGTGCTGAGTAAATTGTAGATTTCATCTTGAGATTCTTTCATGAGAAAAACTACTCATTTGTGTTAGTTGCTTTTCTCTTTGCTGAGACAAAATACCTGACACCCAAAGTTAAAGGGGAAAATTTATTTAGTTCACAGTTTGTAGAGGTATCAGTCCATAATCAGCTGGCTACAAGGCAGGGTGGCATGTGAGACAGGCATCACAGAATAGAAACAGTTCATGGCAAGCAGAAGACAACAAAAGCAAGCAAGCAAGTGAGCTTAACAGCATCTTTCTGCATCTTTTATGTTATCCAGGCTACTTCAGGCAAATAGCACTTGTGCCTTTAGTCCCAGTGCCCTTGATCCTAGCATTGCACCATGAATCAATTCCATCGTCATTCACTCTAGATCCAGCCACCTCTGAAAAAACCCTACCTATGACTACATGAGGCTTAGAGGGAAAATCTGTATACAAGCCATAACATTCCTCCCTTGGCCTTCCAAAGACTCATGCATATCCATTTATGCAAAAGCCATTTGGTTCATCTCTTAAGAGTTGCCAAAGTCCTAACAGTTTCAGCATTGCTGAAAAGTACAAGTCTAAAGTCTCCTGTTAGATTTAAGGCAAATTCTTAGCTGCAGGCCCCTGTACAAATGAAAAGGAAGTTAAACATTTCTAACAATCAGTGGCATAAGATAGACATTTCCATTCCAAAAGTTACAAATGGGGATAGCAAAGAATGGGAACAAAGCAAGACCAAAATTTAGTAGGGTAAACATTAAATCCCACAGTTCCACTTCCAGTGTCCATGTGGCAAGTTGTGGCAATCTGTGGCAAGTGTGATCTTCAGAAGGCTTGGAAGGCTCCACCCCTACAGCACTGCCTGTGGTTGTAGCTCCCATGGCTTTTCCCTGGGGCCAGCTCTGCTCCCTCTTGCAATTTTCCTCAGATAATCCGCATTTCTGGCTTCTCCAAACTTCTGGGGTCTCCACTGCACCTTGAGTTTCACACAGTTTCATACACTGCCCTGTTGGCAGCACACTGCCTGGTTTCCCAAGCCTTCCAAAATCTGGGTGGAAGCTTTCCTAACCCTATGACTCTTGAATTCTGCATGCACCTAAAACCAGCACCACGTGGATGACTCAGGTCTGCTGCCAATTGTAGTAGTAGCCAGGCTTCCCTCTCTTGACTAGGGGGTCCAGTGCGTATGAACCAAATCCCGAGGAACAACTTCCATAGTCCAGTGCCATTCTGGAACATGGTGCCCTAGGGCTGTCTTCTCAAAACAAAGTCTTTTACTTTTTCAGTATTGAGGCTGCAAAGGGTAGAGTCCTGATCCTTCTTAAGATGCCCTCAGGCCATCTTTTCTGTTGCCACCTTCTGAAATATTTGGCTTTTTCTTGCTAGTCTTTTTGGTGACCAATTTCTCCTTTGTTCCATTTTTGCAGGCCACAACTTTATTGGAGCTTTCTTTCTTGCCAAACTCAAAATATTTTATATCATTCTGCTGGCTCTTTGCTCTTGATTCTCACATAAGTCTGGCTAGAAGCCCCCAACAGCCATGCTACTACCTCAGCATTAGACTGCCTTGAAATTGCCTCTGCCAGATTAATCAGTCCACTGTCCTTAATCTCAGACTCAGTCAAAGTCTGGACACAAGCAAAATGCAAACAAACTTTCTGCTAAGGCATAACACACATTGTCTGGAGCCCAACAGCCAATGCAGTTCTTTGCAGCAGAAATCTTCCAAACCTGGGCTTTACTGGCATCATTTCTGTCAGCATTCTGGTCTTCTGAGCTCTGACCAGAATCTCCCATCAAATACAGCCTAAAGTGTTCCAACTCTGCTTTTTCAGCCAGCATCTCCAAACTTTCCCCTTCCCCCCCAAAAGCCCTACCTATGACCATATGAGGCTTTGGGAGATATCTAAACACAAGCCGTTAACACTATCTGTGTGTCTCTCTGTCTCTTTTTTTTTTTTTTTTGAGGCAGAGTTTCACTATGTAGTTCAGGCTGGCCTCGAACTCAGGGGAATCTGCCTGCCTCAGCCTCTTGAGTGCTGGAATTACAGGCATGTGCCACTACTCCTGGCTGTGCCTCATTTTTGATCCCAGTGTTTCTCTTTCATTTATTTGTTGTTTTTTCTTTTTATTTTTTTTCAACAGGGTCTATGTAGTTTGGGTTGGTCTTAAACTTACTAGGTAGCCTAGGCTGGCCTCAGCCTCGTGGCAATCCTTTTAGCCTTTTAGCCTCTGGAGTGCTGGGATTATAGGTGTGCACCACCATACCTAGCTTTTTTTGTTTTTGAGACGGGGTTTAACTGTGTGGTTCAGGTTGACCTTCTGATCCTTCTGCCTCAGCCTCCCAAGTGTGGGAATTACAGGCATGTGCCACCATGTCCAAATTTTTTAAATATTTAATTGTTTTTGAGACCAGGTCACACTCTGTAGTTCAGGCTTGAGTATTTCTTCAGAGTAAAAACTTCATGAGAGAAAAAAAAAAAAAAAAAAACCCAACAACTTCATGAGGTAGAGGTGTTGCTCAGTGAAACAGCACTTGCCTAGCATATGTCAGGGCCCGGGACTGACCCCAGCACCACAAAAAGCTAAACAAACCCTCCCAAATCTGTGTCCACTTGTGCCTATCAGAGTGTGTTGAACATGTTAAGCTCTTAAAGGGTGACTCAGCTGCACACAGAATAAAACTAAAGGCCCTTTTTTTTTGGCCCACGCCCAAGTTCTAGCAACTGTGTGGGATAGGGTGGGACAGCTGTCTTTCATTTTAACTAGCTCTAACAAAAATGCATATAAGTCAGGGTTTTTCATAGATGGACAGGTAACTCAGTATAGAAATTATAAGAAGTATTATGTATCTTTAAAAGCTGAAGTGCCCAATTTATAAAATTGCTCTTTACATTGGTATTCCACCCACTCTTTGAGGTTAAATGCTTTTCTTTTATTTGACAGGAAATCTATTCTTTTTTTCTGTCTGTAACCTGTTTGAGCCTAGTCTTTAAAATATGTGTACGTGCCAGAATTACTTTCCATTACATTTTTGTAAGACTCAAAATCAGACTGTGTAAGCTGGCTATGGCAGCTTTTTTGTTGGCTGAAGGGAGATGGATGCTCAGGTGTTCAGAACGTGTCATGATCACCTTATTCTCTTCCAAATTACTCCCCCTGCCATTTTCCCACCCTCAGGTTCTGAACCTCAGCAGCAACCACAAAAGGTTTGTTTAGTTGCTTCAAACCACCAGGGAGCACAGACAGCAGTCTTGGACAGGGTGACCAGCAGGTCAGTTTGCCCAGCACTTACCCCATTTTAGCACAGCAAGTCCGTGTTCTGGGAAGCCTTCAGTCTGGGTAGATCAGTATAGTCAGTTGTTCCACTTCTGGGTCCCCCTTGGCCCTTCCTTTGCACTTCTCTTTGGGCCTGGATACAGGGAATAGGAGGAAGGTCTGTCTGCCTCAGGATATGTGTATTTCTGGATGCACAGCCCTCCCTGGTACTGTCCTGATACTACAGTTGAGTGGACCAAAAATAGTCCCAGTTTTTGTGTATGGCAAGGAAAGAATTGCCATGTGTACATCTTGTAGTATATAGTAAGTAGCTACATTTATTGAAGATCATGGGATGGTAGCAGGAACAAGAAGGACGAAGAGAAAAAGAGGAGAAGAGAAAAGAGACTCAGATATGAAGGGAAAAAATGGTGAAGGGTCAGACACCACTGATTCAAGGCACCTTCTATTGTCTGTCTCTGATGTCACTAATCTGCGTGACCTGCTGAGCTTAATCCTGGATAATCATTAGGGTGGTGTTTGGTTTAGGTTGAGTGGACGGAAGGGAAGTAAGTGGCTTATACAACTTCCCTATCTTTTGTGTTCTGTTTACTTATACTTTGTATTTTCCTACATACCAGTAGTCATTTGCCATTTAAGTGACTTGAACAATAAACATATTGGGCTGGGTGTGATGGTGCATGCCTGTAATCACAGCACTCAGGAGGCTGAGGCAGGAGGATCATTGTGAGTTGAAGGCCAGCCTGGGCTACAAAGTAAGTTCAAGACCAGTCTGAATGGCATAGTGAGACCCTGTGTGAAAAAAAAAAAAAAAAAAGGATAAATGTGTTGCTCAAGTTTATTTTGTACAGTGTGAGCAGTACACTTAACTGGAATCATAGGTGCTTAAATCTGGGTGAAGAAATCTGGGGTCCTAAAATTTTAGGGCTAGAGGTATAGCTTAGTGGTAGAACACTTGCCTAGCTTTTGAGAGGCTCTAGGTTTGATCCTCTGCACTGCAAAAAAATGTTCTAATTGAAAGAGTATCTGCACTTATGAACAACTAGGGTAGCACAAGGGAACGAATGATACTTGAACCATTCTGATATTGACTATGGTATCGATTCCACAAATCACAGAATAAAATTGCTTAGAACTAAATAGACACACAAATTAATGCATGTAAAACTGATGAAATCTGAGTGAGGTCAGTGGATTGCAGGATGTGGTGGCCCATGCCTATAATTCCAGCTACTAGGGAGGCTGAGGCAGGAAGATCACAAATTCAAGACCAGCCTGGGGAACTTAGTGAGACCCTATCCCAAAAATTTTAAAAAGGGCTGGAGATGTATCTCAGTGCTCCCTGCGTTCAATCCCCAGTACTACCTACAGCAGGGGGAGGGGAGAGGGTTGTTACTGTCTTTGACTCCCTCTGACTAATCAGTGAGCTGTTGTTATTGTCAGTTCCTACTTATGGTGTTGTGTTATAGCAATGCAGTAATCATCATGGGGTAAAACTAGGTAAAGAGTACACGAGATGTCTCTATTGTTTTCCTACAGTTGCATCTGAACCTACAATTATTTTAAAAGGTTTAATTGCACATTTTAAAAATAAACAACTAGAAAGCACCTTTGGAATCCTTGTGAAATGCTCAGTAATACATTATACATAATTCATTTTTCTCTTTGCTCTTTTTGAAGAATATATTTCCCTCTAAAAACTAAAGGGAGAAAAAAAATTTAAAAAAAAAAAAAAAACAACCCTAGAGGGAGAAATGTCAAGGGAAAAATGGAGACTTCTGGCTTATTTCTAAGTAATTTGTACTGTGGCATGCATTTTTGATGTCTTCAGGAACCCATTTGCCGTGATAGCCCCTCCTGGAGTAGAGAAAAGACAGTGAACATGTCAGCCAGAGAAAGGGAGACCCTTTGAAGGGTGAATTGGCTCTAAGTGGTGCAGACTTGCATTTGTCATCTAGAAGGTTAATGGCAGATTTTTCATTAGTGTCATTTATCTCCTTAGTATAACCAGTTTCTGTGACTCCCTCTGACCAGCGACTTTCACATGTTTTTAAAAATTCTTTTTGCTACAGTCCTTAATAAGAAATGCCTCTTACATCAAAACGTTAATGAATGAATGTGTATGAATATAACAAAGTTTCATAAAACAATGCATGCACTTATGTGTGGTAGCTTCCAACATTTCCTTTCTATTCTACCTAATTAAAAAAATTAGTGGTTATGGTAGTAATTGTAAAAAGTTCATTTGTTAACTTGTAGGATGAGAACGACTGCACACTTTAGTCCACCAGGGGGAGTAGTCTAAGCCCTTTGGCATGACATTTAAGACCTTCCCATCTCCTTTTCCTGCCTCTAGCTAGGTGATATTCAAGCAGGGTGCTGTGGTATACCTGTAGTTCCAGCTACTTGGGAGGGTCACCTGAGTCAGTGAGTTCAACACCAGTCTGGGCAACATGGTATAGCATAGCTCTGAGGGCAGTCTTCCCAGGCTAAGAGTTTTGCCTTTTGGTATGCTGAGGGCCCCACCCCCTGGGTGAAGCATTAAGTCTGGAGACCTTTAACCTTAAAAGATGAGGCTATTGGAACCAGAGAGATAATAAGATCTTACCAATTAAAGATCTGGACAGCAACCAGATCCCATAGGCTCCTACTATTTAGGCATCATCATGTCCCACAGAAATAGATATTAACATTTGTCAGTTTTTTTTTTTAAAAGGGTCTGCCATTCTAGTCCTGTAATGGCACAATCACTTGTCATTCTGAATATTTCAGTTTGATTTCCAGTCATGATTTGTTTTTAGTCACTTTTTTACCCTACTCACCCCCCCAGCCCTGGTTGAACCTGGAATGTTTATACTACATCCCCAGCCCTTTTTTTAATTTTGAGCCGGAACTCACTAAATCAATAAGTTGCCCTGCCTTAGCCTCCTGGAGTGCTGGGGTTTCCACCGTGTCCTGCTTAGACCTTATTTTTAAGAACAGTTTTTGGTCCATAGAAAAGCTGAGCAGTTAGTTAGTGCCTCCTGTACACAGTTTCCTGTTATTAACATTTTGCATTGGTGCAGTATATTGGTTAAAATTGTTAATATAATGGTACATTATTATTAACTATAGTCTGCAGTCTGCATTGTAAAGATTCATTCTTTGTGTTGTATAATTCCATGGGTTTTGCCAAATGCATAAATGCCATGTATCCACCATTACAGTATAATACAGATTAGTGTCACTACCTGACCACTTCATTTTTCTCTGTGAACATACCTCTTTGAACATAATGCTGACTGTTAAATTAAAATATTCATTCTATGTTAATAAAGCATTCAAATTCTTACAGTATTTGAAAGTCAAGGATACACAATGAATTGATTTTTTTCTATATATCAAGTTTTCTTATTTATCTCATTTGACGAAGATGTTTTGCTAAGTTGTCTTTTTTTTTGTCTTTTTGAGACAGGGTGTCACTGTGCAGTTCATGCTGCTCTTGAGCTCACTTTGTAGCCAAGGCTGGCCTTGAACTTGCAACCATCCTCCTGCCTCAGCCTCCTGAGTGCTGGTATTACAGGCGTGTACCACCACACCTGGCTATTTTTTTAAGTTTAAATCATCATTTTATTTCCACGGTTTTATTTGGTGGCAAACAAGGATGGTAATTCTTGTTTTGTATAGTTCTAGAAGTCCTAGTTAATGCAGTAAAATGAAAAATTAGGGGTTGGAGATTTCGCTCAGTGGCAAAGCGCCTGCCTGGCAAGTGCAAGGTTGTGAGTTCGATTCCTGGTACCAGAAGAAAAACAAAACAAGACAAAAAAAAAAAAAAAAAGAAAGATTAGAAATAAGGGTTACTGTGTCTGTCAATATTTTACTGGAGGAACAAATATAACACAAGATACAAATGTACAAGAAATTACAAGTTGCATGAGGAAGAGTGCAGAGGGTGTCTGTACACTAGAGACTGAAGGATTTGATCGAAGATCTGCAGCTCAATGCAGTGTCCCGTGCAAGTCTGTATCTTAAGGCTGATGGGTCTGCACTGGAAGGCTGAAGGGTCTGAAGTGGAATGCTGAAGAGTCTATACCAGAGGGCTGAAGAGTCCATGCTGGAAGGCTGAGGGACCCGTACTGGAAGCCGAAGAGTCTGCACTAAGAAAGCTGAGGAGTATGACAGAAGCTGAAAAGTCTGTGCTGGAAGCCAAGAGATGATGTCCAAGCTGAAGGTAAAGACTGGAGCTTTTCTGAAGGACAGAAGCAGATCTGTTCTGCCTCATTTTGCTTTATACCATCCAGGTGACAAGCTGCCCTAGGGTGGGTCTTCTACACCCTAGGGTGTAGAATTGCTAAGCTGATTTAGTTAAGCTTGTCTTAACTAAACTTCTCAAGTTGACACAATCAGTCAACCACTATAGATACTGTTTTGAGAAATTCTCATTTTTTTGAGATGATGGAATTGTGAAAACCCAAGAAAATCAACAGAATATCTGTTAAAATTAATAGGAGTTCAGGGGCTAGGGATACAGCTCAGCAGTAGAGGGCTTGCCTCAAATTCTCAAGACCCTAGGTTCAATCCCCAGTACCACACACACACACACACACACACACACACACACACACACACACACAATCAGTAAGAGTTCAATAAGACAGTTGAATATGTAGTACAGATACCAAAGTGAAAAATTTTCCTATATATAGTAATAACTGGTTCAAAATTTAGTGGGGTAAGAATCTCCTACTCAGAAATAGTAATTCTAATAAAAAACATGGGATCTCTTAAAAAGACAAAAATCTACTGGAGATGTTAATATTAGAATAGTAAAGGTTGCTGACACTACCTGAATGTCCGCCAATAGGAGTTTGTTTTGTTTGTTTGTTTTGAGACAGGATCTCGCTATGTAGTGCAGGCTAGCCTTTAACTCACTCTGTAGCCCAGGCTGACCTTGAACTCACAGCAGTCCTCCTGCCTCAGCCTCCCCAGTGCTGGGGTTACAGGCATGTGCCACTACACCCAGGAGATGGTTTATTATTGATTTATACCCCATCCTATTCCAAAATGATTTTAAGGTAACTAATATACTGTATGACATAAAAATAAGAATTTTAAGCAAAGAGAAATTTGAGGGATGGGCCACAGGTTTTATTCCAAGCTTTGTACCAGCCTAAGTAGAAGGGATATGATATAGTTGTACCATAAAATTTTGAGTTACTTGGAAAAAGCAGTTATTCTAGTGTAGAGACCAAAGAGAAGATTTTTTTTGTGAATCTCAAAAGAGAATGATCATTTTAACCTAACAAAAGAGCATCTAACCTTCTGGAGCTGTGTCTTAGACACAATGCCGGGGAATGGTTTGGCAGAGAGCATTTGTAGTGGGGTGAAGAGCGTGGTGACGATGATGGCCAGGATGCACTTGCAGATGGTCACTATCCTGCTCTGAGGGTCAGCTCAAGGAGGGATGTGTTTTAGAGACCCAGAATATGGTTCTCAGCTGATGTACCCTCCCACCCTGGTGTCCTGAGTCTTTGTAGATTGGCCACTGAACTGTTTTTGTTTTTGTGTTTTGAGACAGGGTCTCAAGTTTGTAGCTCAGACATCACCATGATCTTGACCTCACCATGTAGCCTGGCCTGGCCTCGGACTCATGGTGATCCTCCTGCTTCAGCCTCCTGAGTGCTGGGATTATAGGCATCCACAATCAGCCCCAGCTTGGCCACTGAATTTTTTTGTTTAATTATTTATTTGTAGTGCTGAGAAGCTGAGAATTAAACTCAGCTCCTCAAGCCTGCTAAGCAATTACTCTCCAGTTTACCTACACCCACACCCCTGAGTTTTTATTAATGTTTACATTTGTTTTTGCTACAGCTGAGGATCCAAAGTACCGAGAACCCTGACAGGTGGTGGTGTGGGATATGACCTGCAGTGGCCATCAGGGATGCCAGACAGGAGGCAAGGGGTGCCACTTAGGCTGGCCCTGAAGAAAATCTACCATGGATGACCAACACAGCTTCTGTGATTATTCCCTGAAGTCACAATTTGGTAAGTGCAGTGAAGAGCAGGTAGTCTGTGCTAGGTATAGGCCTAGAGGCATTAGTAGTTGACTAATAGAGTTGCCTACCTCTGAGGAAGTGGAGAAACCTCATGAGCTGAGATGACTAGCCTGCCTGCTTAGCTGTACGCAGGTGGGAAGAGGAAGTAGCAGTGGGCAGGACCTATTAAGAATTTTCTGACGGGGCTGAGGATTTAGCTCAGCGGCACAGCGCCTGCCTGGCAAGCGCAAGGTCTTGAGTTCAATTCCCAGTACCAGAAAAAATTAAAAAAAAAATTAAAAAAAAAAAAAATTCTGAGAAAACAGTTGGAGGCCTGATCTAGTACATGTTGGAAAGGGCAGTCAAGGTTGCCATATTTCTACATCATAGAGCACAGCCATGTTAATTTTAAGTCTGGAAGAATCATTTTTCTAAGTGAACAATGTCAAACTTTGATCTAAGTAATAGAACAAAGTTGTAAGGTATTTGTAGAATATCTAATTTTAAGCTGCATAACTTTCTGGTAAATCCTTCAAAGCAGATGGTGTCCATGCAGGCAGGAAGCAGATTGTTTATGGGAAGCTTGGAGTCTGAGTCCCGTACTAACATCTCTTGGAGCCTCAATTTTTTCACCTGCTAGATAAGGAAACAAGTGCCCACATGGGTTGTTGTAAGGATTAATGAAATGAGAGGTACACATTACACATTTAATTTAAGGCCTGAGGCATAGCACTCAGTATACATCAGCTATCATTTATGATCATATGTTATTTCAGGTATTTGTTAATTTATCAAGAAGGAATCTGGTATAACCTGAATAAGTGGATAGAAATGTTGTGTTCATGAATTTCATAAAGGTACCAATATAGCTCCCTAAATTGCTCTGTAGATTCAGTAAAATTCAATAAACCCCCCAAAAGACTTCTCAATAGCAGTGCTTTTCACTCTTCTAATTATGTTTGTTTTAATAAGAAAATGTAATTGCATCGACCAGTGTTAAATGGCAAAGATGCCATGCACCACTGCCACTATTTTGTGTGACTCTTTTATTTTAAACCCTCTGTTCTGTTTCTGAGCACAGCTGTTTGTGGCTGTCCCTTTCCTGTGGGGAGCCCCTTGCAGAGCTGGCAGGCACACCTCCATGTGGTCTTTGGCACAGCTGTCAGCCGGAGAACTGGCAGGGTTTACCAGACTTTGGAGCCTGTGCTAGAAATCTCCTTCACAGTTTCTCAGTGACTAGTTTTTTCTCAGCGTCCTGTTTAAGATACATAGAGGGGATAGACTGTAAGGATGTGTGTGTTTTCACACTTTGTTGTTACTGTGTTTGATTCTTTTCTCTTAGGAATCAGCTCCTGAAAGTTTAGAATTGAATTTTCACCTATCTAGTACCAAGTTGTTGTTGTTTTGTTTTTTTTTTAAGATTTTTTCTGATGCTTGGAAGCTATCCTATGAGCCACAAAGATGGTAATAAATCTTTGCCTCCCACAATTCAGACCAAGAATTCACTGCAACAAGGTAAACAAAACAGATATATACACATAGATATGCAATATATATTTTTCATGTTTTTCCCCAGACTTTCTTCAGTTTTGTTATACTTTTACCCTTAGATTCCATCAGGTAGTTTTTATAGGTGAGCCTAGGGCAGGCTCCCTCCGGAATCAGAGCATCATTATGAGGTGAGCGGTGACTCATTTTGCACAGCGTCTTCATTGTGGTCTTCCCTCTTGGATGATCAATTTCATTTCTCCCCAAAGTGGTAGCAAAAGGTAGAAATACTCCCCACTCCCAGGTTTTTTAGTGTGTGTGGTTGGGGGGTACTGAGAATTAAACCCAGGGTATTCTATCACTGATCTGTGTCCCCAACCCTTTTTTTTTTGAGCCAGGGTGTTGCTAAGTTGTCCATGTTGACCTTGAACTTTCTGTTTTTTACTTTTTTTTTTTTTCCTTACCAGGAATCAAACTCATGACCTTGCACTTGCCAGGCAGGCGCTGTGCCACTGAGCTAAATCCCCAGCCCCTCTTTTTTGTTTTTTATTTGAGATAGGGTCCAGGCTGGCCTTGAACTCACTATGTAGCTTAGGCTGGCCTCAAACTCTTGACAAGCCTCCTGCCTTAGCCTCCTGAGTTCTGGGCTTGAATTTTTGATCCTACTCGCTTAGCCTCCTGAGTTGCTGGGATTATGCATACATGATCATGGCCAGCTTTTGTTAATTTCTAATACTGGAAGTAATGGCTTGTATTTGTTATTTGAATTCCTTGCTGTTTATTATTTGAATTGAATCTCTACCCTAAAAAAAGGGTATTTATCCATAGTATGGGTTAGGGTATATAGAAATATCAAGAGGGGAAGGAAGCCCTGCCCTAATTTACTTAAAATTTCTACCCTACTTGGTAGGGTCCAAGTACAAAATTGAGAACATTTCTTGGTTTCATTTTTTTATTAGTATATGTTTGTAATATATATTAATTACATTCATCTTGAAAATTAGTATGTATACATTGTCACATCTTATTCATTTCTTTTTCCTTTTTTTTGTTTTTTTGTTTTATCTTTTTGAGACAGGGTCTCACTATGCAGTTCAGGCTGACCTGGAGGTTCACTTTGTAGCCCAGGCTACAACAACAAGTATTGGAAATATTAAAAAAGGAAGAAGTTAAAAATAACACCTTATAGCCCATTCACTATCCTAAATTTTCCATATTTTTTTTTTTGCGGGGGCTGCTTTTTGAGTCAGGCTCTTACTATGTCATCCAGGGTGGCCTTGAGCTCACTATGTAGCCAAGGCTAGCCTCGAACTCTATTAGTGATCCTCCTGCCTCAGCCTCTTGAGTGCTGGGATAACAGGTGTGCACCACCATGCCCAGCTTCCCCCATACTGTTTTGTTTTTTTTTTTTTTAATAAAAGCAACCCTAGGTCTGGGGATATAGCTCAGTGGCGTCGTGAGTTCAATCCCCGGTACCACAAAAAAAAGAAAAAAAGCAACCCTACATTTATTGGCCTCCAGTAAAAACATAAGGGTAGTCAAAACAATATGAACAGATGTTTACAAATACTCCCAGGGCAAAACCACTTAATCAGCTGACTTTTCACATATTATCATAATTGCCATTGCTTCACTTCACTGCTGTCTTTATTCATTGGTCATTTCTAGCTGGAGACACTTCGTAGCAGAGTGATATTATCTCCTTTCAGCATGATCCCAAAGTTATTTTCTTGGCTTTGTTTTAGAGTGAATTTCTTCTGCATCATCTGATACAAGGTTCTGTACTCATTCATCAAAACCAATAATACAGCCTTCTCTCTGCACATTCACTTGCCCATAGAGCCACATCTGAATCCGGCACTGTTCTGCAAGTATCTGAAGATGAGCTGGATGGGCTGCACATTGCCCTCTGCACTTTTCTGCACCATTTCCCTCTGCACTGGCCCCTGTACGCCGTGGCGGAATCAGACTTCCATACTCTTTTGTGGCCCTTGTTCCTGAATACACTTTTTTTTTTAACCAAGTGTCATCATTCATAGATTTATAAGAAACCTTTTTATTCTGCCTTCCTAAGGAGACTATCATAATTGGTAGGGTCCAAGTACAAAATTGAGAACATTTCTTGGTTTCATTTTTTTATTAGTATATGTTTGCAATATATATTAATTATGTTCATCTTGAAAATTAGTATGTATATGTTATCACATCTTATTCATTTCTTTTTCCCTTCTTTTTTTGTTTTTTTGTTTTGTCTTCCGGTACCGGGAACTGAACTCACGACCTTGCGCTTGCCAGGCAGGCGCTTTGCCACTGAGCTAAATCCCCAGCCCCTTGTTTTGTCTTTTTGAGACAGGGTCTCACTATGCAGTTCAGGCTGACCTTGAGTTCACTTTGTAGCCCAGGCTGGCCTTGAACTTGCAATGATCTTCCTGCCTCAGTGTCTGAGTGCTGGGATTACAGACATGCCCCACCAAGCCCAGCCTTCATCTGTCTTTTATTTTGCTGTTTAAATTATTTATATTTTGGGTTTTTTATACAAGAGAAACCATGTGCTACTTAACCTTCTGTTTCTGGTTTATTTCACTGACATTATGGTCTCAAGGTCCATTCATTTTCCTACAAATGACTCAAATTTGTCCTTTATGGCTGAGTAGTAACCCAATATGTATAGATATCACATTTTCTTTATCCATTCACAAAATTAAGAGCTTTAGTGGGCATTTTTATTTTCTCTTAAGGGTGCATGTTTACATCCTTTGAAATGAAACATCATTAGTATATGTGCTCCATCTTCACAGAGACATTAAGAAGGATGTTTGGTTGAGTTGGGGAGATTTTTATTGTTTTGTGTGTGTGTGTGTGTGTGTGTGTGTGTGTGTGTGTGTGTTTTAAGGCAAGGTCTTGCTATGTAGTTGAGGCTGGCCTTGAACAAACTCACTATGTAGCCTAAGTTGGCCTTGAACTTGTAGCAGTCCTCCTAATTCAGCTTTCCTGAGTGCTGGAATTATGGTGCATCCCAGCTTACTCAGCTATTGCTCCCTTTTTAAGATTGGTTCATACTCGGGAATACAGTTACCTTCAACCTGGTCTTGGGTACCTCCAGAATATTTAAGGACAATTAGAGGAAATTTTTAAATGAAGAATTTCAGACATTATCTTTAAAGAGTTTTTAAAAAAGTGATAACATCTTGAAAAACAGTTGTCTTTATTTGGATTTGTGTCTCATATTTATCATTAAATCTAGATATCAGCTGATGGTTATGAAGTAGAAAATCTCATCTCTGAAGACCTCACAAGGAGAAGCCATGGTTTTAGGACAGAGTATTTCATTAAGCCGCCAGTCCACGTGACAGTTTCCTTTCCCTTTAATGTGGAAATCTGTAGGATTCACGTAGACCTCACAGCTGGGGGCTGCCAAAATGTCACCGGCCTGGAGATGTACACATCCACCTTACGCGGCAGAGCCTCCTGGAGCACACCTGAGTGCCAGCCCCCCGACCCCTCCGAGCCCTCCGTGCCCAACAAGGAGGCGTTCATCTTGGTAGGCAAAGTCTTGCTGAAGAACCAGAGCCAAGTGGTGTTTAGCCACCGAGGCTTCAAGGCCAGGCCACCTTTTAGCCCATTGGAAGTCACACCCCCCTCCCCTGCGGTTGTGGCTCAGGAGCTCTGGAATAAAGGGGCTCTTTCCCTTTGCCATGTGGCCCACCTCAGGATCTGTATCACCCATGTGACAGGCAATGGTGTCCCTTCCATCAAGCGCTTGGAGGTATGGGGTCAGCCGGCCAAGACCTGCTCTCAGGAAGTGATAGACAGTGTCTTGCTGGTGGCCTCAGAGAGTGTACCTCAGGAGTTGGCCCTGCAGACCCCAGCCTTGCCCATGGAGAGTGACTGTGACCCTGCAGGCCTGTCTGAGGGCCAGCACGCCCCCTCCAGCCTGCGAGAGATGGCTGAGGTGATTCGGGACGTGCCAGAGGAGTTCCTAGATCCCATCACCCTAGAGATCATGCCCTGCCCCATGCTGCTGCCCTCAGGCAAGGTCATCGACCAGAGCACCCTAGAGAAGTGTAACCGCAGTGAGGCCACGTGGGGCCGAGTGCCCAGTGACCCATTCACGGGCATAGCCTTCACCCCGCACTCCCAGCCCCTGCCGCATCCTGCCCTGAAGGCCCGCATAGACCACTTCCTGCTCCAGCACTCCGTCCCTGGCTGCCACCTGCTTGGGAGAGCACAGGCTGCATCAGCAGTGACCCCTTCTTCCATAGCCCTGCCTTCCCGGAAAAGGAAGCCGGAGCAGGGGGACCAGGCCCCAGACAGTGGCTGTGGTGCGAACACTTCCTGCTTCCCCACCACAAATCCTCTGGTCTCTTCCACTACCTCAGAGCACTCCGGCAAGAAAATGAAGGCCACCAGCGAGCCTAGCCTGACTCACATGGACTGTTCTGCAGGTAATGCCCCGTCCTGTGTCTGTGGCCCAGTGTCACCTCCCGCTTCTTGCTGACACATGGCGCAGTTGCCCTCAGCTCTGTGCTTTGCCCGCATACATCCCTCAGGCTGTGCCCATGCTGTTGCCTTCTCATTGTCATTTTGTTTTTTTGGTTTTTTTTTTAGACAGCTTCTCACTATGTAGCTCAAAACTAGCCTTGACCTCATTATGTAGCCTAGGCTGGCCTTGAACTTGTGGTGATCGTCCTGCCTCAGCCTCCTGAGTGCTGGGATTACAGGCATGTGTCTCTATGCTCTGCTGCCTTCTCATCTTATAGTGTACCTCAGCTTTGTCCTTAGACCTGAGACAGTCGGAGGCCTCGGAGGGGCTATGTGTGTTCCCCTCTCTTCCCAGGCTTCTGCTGCCTGTGTAGTCTGTTCCTCTCGCCAGGGAACATCTCACTGGCAGGTTTGCCTGCTTCAGGCTCCATGTGTGTGCCCTGGCCAGGTCAGTGCTTTTTCTTGGCTTCCATCTTCTTGTCTCAGCTGCTAAGAGGAGAGATACTGAGTCCCTCCAAGCAGACCCTGTCTTCCTTCTGGTACCTCTTCCTCTTTTTCTTCCTAGTACCTCCTCCTGTTCTTTCTTCTCCTTTTTTGGGGGAGCAGGTGTGAGACAGGGTCTCATTATGTAGTCCAGGCTGGCTTTGAACTTGCTAAATTGCCCAAGCCGGCCCCAAACTTGGAATCCTCTGTCTCAGCCTCCCGAGTACTGGGATCACAGGCCTGCTCCACACACCCAGGCTTTCTGTGTTCCCTCTGTCAGGGGCTCTTCTGGAGTATTATTTCCAACCTTCACAGGTGAATCCGAGGGAAATGTGCTATGCCCTCCCTGCCACAGCTCACACGAGGTGCCGCAAGCACCAGAAGTGGCAGAGCACTTGGGTACAGGCCATCCTCCCCGGAGTGGAAAGCCACACTAGAGATGCTGCATTCAGTAAATGTGTGGCTGGGTTGCAGCACTCTTCAGTGTGGGACTGAAGCCTCCTGCCTCCCTGTCTGTCCCCAGGGCATCGTCGGGGATTTCTGGGATCCATGATGCTGCCACCTCTGAGGAGAGCAGCCTGGCTTACATGGCGACCTCTGTAGCTGCATGTGCTCAGCAGCTGTGTGGCTTTGCTGGAGCGAAGCTGTGGGCCAGGCTCCCACCCATTCTGTGTGTTTTCTGAGCTCAGCTTTGGAGGCTTTTGTTCTGCTAAACTCACATTGATGTTTGTGTTCGCACCCTGAGGCCCTGCATGAAAGACCATGTGATATTCCAAATAAGACTGACAAGTGATGTATTTAATTCTAGTAAAGGCAAGAGAAGAGAAGAATGAAGGAATATAAATATAAAATGTCTTCTTGGCTGAGGGAAGTCTGAGTGAAAATTCTAGGGCTTTAATGAGGACTATCTTCATATCGGACTGATGATTTAGGGCAAAGACATTTTTTTCCTTTCTTTCTTTCTTTGAGTGAAACAACTGCTATTCTCTTTGTCCTTCTTTTGCTGGGCAGCAATGTTTTTGTTTCTGTTTCATTTTGTTTGATACAGGATCTTCCATGTAGTCCATGGCTGGCCTTGAACTGGTTGTACAGCCCAGGCTGGTTTTGAACTGGTGGTCCTGCCTCAGCCTCACAGGGCTAGGCTAATAGGTGTGTGCCACTGCACTCAGTGAGTTAGGTTGCTTCTAATTTTCTGCTGTTACAGATAAGGCTGCACAGACTCACCCTTGTCTGTATATAATTTTGCATCTGTGCAGAGGGCTCTAGGACAGTGTCACAGAAGGGGATTCTGAGTCAAAGGCTACATGCTATGAATTCGATAGACATTGTTGAGTTGACCTTGCAGCTGTCCCACCAGCAATGTGTGAGATTCCTCAGCCACACTAACGCGGTGCTCTCAAACTATCATGTGATAGATAAAAAGCGGTATCTTATATTGCTTCATAGCTCTTATTAGTGAACTTGAGCAGTCCTTAGTTGGTAAAAACTATTTGTTTCCTTTTCTGTGAGCTGTCCCATTTTCTTTGTTCCTATTAGTTGTTGGTCTTTTTTTTTTTCTTTTTTTTTTTTCGACCGGGTCTTGCCTTGTAGTCCAGGCAGGCCTTGATCTCACTATGTACCCAGGCTGTCCTCATACTCATAGCAATCCTCCTGCTCAGCCTCCTGAGTGCTGAGATTACAGGTGTACGACACCACAAGGGGCTGTTGTTGGTCTTTTCTGGGAGCCCTTTATTTGTTGTGAGGGTTAGCCCTTTGACTCTGCCTCATAACCCCCCAAACTGAGGGCTGAACTCGGGTACTGTACCACTGAGCTGTATCCCTGGCTGTTATTATTTTTCTACTTTGAGGCAGGGTCCCACTAAGTTCCCCATGCTGCCCTCAAATGTGTGATCCTCCTGCCTCGACTGCTCAAGTAGCTGGAATTATAGGTGCGCATCACTGTCTGGCTAGCCCTTTAACTTGGCTATCAGCCAAAAATACGTTTTCTCACTTTATTATTTGTCTTTTGGTGGAGGAGGACATCTTTGGTCAGGATTTGTTTCAGTGACTTTTTTTTTTCCTTCATAAAAAGAATTTGGAAATTTTCCTTTTCTGTACCCTGGAACAATTTAATAGAATTAAAGTAATCTATTGTACATATTTGGTAGGCTTCCTTGGTTATTGTCAGGGCCTGGTATTTTGGAGGATAGCTCTTTGACAGCTTTTTTTTTTTCCTTATGAAAAAACTACCCTGCTTAGATTTTATCATTCTTTTAATTTCCTGTCTTTCTGTAAAAGGTTATGCAAATCTTATGCTTAATGGTTACATCTGTGTCCATGGTTTGGAGAGTACATTTTAGTTAGCACAACCCAGAAGCTGCTAGGAGCATCTGAGATGCAGCAAATGAAACAAGGAGAAAGGTCGTTAGGCCTCTGTGGAGGTCTGAGTGGTGCTGGCCTTGACATGTGATGTACTGTGTCCTACAGCTGTAGATGAAACATTGCACTCTCCTTGTGTGGCAGTCTTGCAAATTGTGCCAGGCAGGGTCTGGGGCCTTGCTTGGGCACCTGTCTTCCTTCTCTTTTGCCTCCATTTTTGTCCTTTAGTGGTGTTCTCTGTTTTTTTTTTTTTGTTTGTTTGTTTCTGTTTGTTTGTTTTGCGACAGGGTCTCAGTGTGCAGTTCAGGCTGGCCTTCAGCTCACTTTGTAGCCAAGGCTGGTCTCGAACTTGCAGTGATCATCTTGCCTCAGCCTCCCGAGTGCTGGGATTACAGGCATGAGCCACCACTCCAGGCTCGTTTTCTGTTGACCACTTAAAAGTATCATGGCCTGGCCAGAGTGCCTGAGGTTGTGTACCTGCCAGGAGAGAGGGGACACATACCTGGAGAGTGCAAGCAGCAGCCCTGCAGGGTATAGGAGCCCCAGAGGGAGGAGCTGGGAAAGAGAAGACTGAGGCTGCTGGGGAGGGAAGAGGGCCAGGGACAGGGGACAGGCTGGCCTTTGCTGGCTGCTTGTTTCCTCTAACAACTCTAGGTAGGCTTTTAGGAAGGCAGTGCAGTTCTGTGTCGAGCCACAAGGTGGCCTTCTGCCCTACTTTTTGTCCAAGAAGGGAGCGGTTGAGCTCACCCAGCCTTGAAGGCGTACTATGGGTGACTCTCAGGGTTCCCTGGGGCAGTATTCTGTCTTCACGATCCTGGGGGACAGCAGGAAAATTTCTGTGTATTTACATGTCTCTGAAGTTGGAAGTGCTGGCTTTTTGTCCTTAAAGACTCATGGGTTTCCTTTTGCCTCACCTCTGTCTGGATGTTGTGGTCTGCATCTCTCAACAGAGCCAGTGTCGCATGAGCAAAAGCTGTCACAGAGCTTGGAACTGGCCTTGATGTCCACCCTTGGCTCTATGCCTTCCTTCACAGCCCGGCTGACTAGGGGACCGCTGCAGCCCACTGGCACAAGAGGAAGCAGCACTTGTGGGAGGCTGGACACTGGCTCAGGTAACCCAGGCCGTTGTCTCCTTGCTGGTCTGTCTCTGTGTAGGATGCTGGGCCTTCTCCCTGGGGACCAGCTCCCTCTCAGTGCCAAGCCCCAGGCTGGTGAGAGGCCATGCCTGCCTTCTCCAGGGAGGTGCAGGCTGCCCGGAAGTGACCACATGGGAAGGGCATTTTGCGGTCATCCTTACTGATGCTGTGGACTTGGGGCCTAGCTATCCTCTGCTGTTGTTTTTTTTTTGTTTTTTTTTTTTTTTTTTTTTTGGTACCAGGACTCAAACTTAGGACTTTACACTTGCTAGGCAGGCACTTGTACCGCTGAGCTGTATCCTCGGCCCTGCTGTGTTGTTTTTGTAACATCCAATGTTAATTATTCTCTCCTGAAGACTTTCGTTTCTGCCTTAGTTTCCTAATCTCACCTTTCTCCCACCTGATAGCTGGGGGACTTTGTACATGTGAGGGGAAGTTCGGAATTCAGGGGGTCTTCATCACTTCTTCCTATTGACATTTTTATCAGTGTCTTAAGTGGTAGCCGGTTAGGGTAGTTTTTGCCTAAAATGAATATGGGCCCATATTATATAGTAGAATCTGTTGGGATATGAAGTGAGAAGAACCTACTGGAACGCTGAGCCCTTTTTACCAGGTGACACCTAGCAGGAGTGATGATACAGCAAACATCCTATTCCCCCTACACGAAGCCTGTCACCTGTTGTCTGGATTCCAGGCCATCTCTCTGTCTCACTCTGCCCACTCTGTTTCCATCTTTACCATTCCCTGGACCCTGTGTTGGCAGAGTGACCCCGGATCCCGTGGCTGCTGCCCTCTGAGCATTGTGAGATGTGCTCCCTTCCAAGTCACTTGTTCTTGTGGCCTTTTCTTCCTGTCTTCAGTGTTCTCCCTTCAGTTTCCATTGCCAGCTTTCTTCTCTCTGTCTGGCCATGGACTCTTCTGTCGCCTAGAGTCACTTCAGTGTTGCTGTCATGGCCCCTGCCTGTCCTTGGCACTCAAGCTCCTGGTATCTTGATCAAAGCCAACTCCCAGTGCTCCTGGCTGCTCCGAGGCTTCCCTCCCTGCCCCCTTCTGCCCATCTGGGTAAAGGGCAGTGTCTTCCACCTGGGTCCAGCCTTTAACATAGAAGTCGTCATCCCTGCTGTCCTTCAGTGTCCACCACTGCATTCCAGTCATTGTCAAGACCATGTGTCCTCCTCTGGGATGGATCTCTGTTCCGGCCTGCGGGTACAGCCAACTAGGACCCTAGAGGGGGAGTGGGGATTATAAAGGGACAAGAGACACGAAGAATGGAGACAAGACAGTGCTCTGATCAAGTCTCGTTTATTATCGGGAAGTGCGGTGCTTATATACGGCACGGAGAAACGCGGAAGTTCTAAGGCGGGAATAATCAAATAACCCGACAAAGGCGGGAGTAACTAGGCAACGGTGGGCAGTCCTAGTTCTTGAGGCGGGAGTAGCTAGGCAAAGGTAGGCAGTCCTGACTTAAAGGGAAAGGCGTGTAAGACGGCTACTAATATACAATGGAGGTCAGTCTCGGTCTCCTACAGATCTCAACTGAGTCCTCTCTCCTCTGCGTTCCAGGGCTCCACCTTGTTGCCAGTTCCCTCTCCTCGCCCACCAGCCCTACAGTAGCCGTGCTGGCCCCTGTGGTCTCTTTGCTTCCCATACAGGAGTCAGAGCGCTCTTAAAATGTTAACAGGGTCACGGAGCTTACTTCTTACGGTCTTTCCCTGGCAGGCCCCTGAGCTTAGACTTTAAGCTCCTGCTGCCTGTGGGGCCTGTGTGTCTCCTTGGTCTCCCGCCCTCAGTGTCACGTGAAGCAACACTGTCACTCCTTATACCCTGTCCTTCCTTTCTTTTTTTTTTTTTTTTTTTCTGGTACCAAGAATCAAACTCAAGGCCTTGCACTTGCCAGGCAGGTGCTGTGCCGCTGAACTATATCCCTGGCTTCTTTCTCTCTTAATGACCTTTGTTTGCTATCTTTCAAATGTCCCTGGAGTTCTTGGCCTCCAAGACCCTTTAATGGGACCTCTGCCTTTGTATGCCTCTGTGGTGTGGTGTAGTGCCAGGGGTGACTCTTGGGACACTACAGAGTAAACTCTCACAGTGCACCTGAGGATCAGGCAGACCCCAGCAGCACCCAGGACAGAGCCTGCGTGGAGGGCACTCGGGAAATAGCAGTTGCTCTCTTTCCTTCTGCTTATTCCCCTCCTCATTCTGTCCTCTCTCCCTCCCTTCCTGATTCTCCCTCCCTTCATCTTTGAGGTCACTGGTAAGGAAAGGAATCTTTGGAGTCATTGTATGAGTGTGAGACCCACCGTGCTCCATGGAGGAGTTGGGTGCTAGTTCAGGAACTGAGTCACATTTCTTGGGTTCTGGTTCCTTTGTGCAGATGGCAGAGCCATTCCTCATGTATTGGTGGAACCCAGGCTGTGTGAGAGGCTCTGCTAGGCCCCAGGGAGGCCCGGAGAAGCACAGAGCTGGATCTTACTCTTGAGGGGGTCCAGAGCCAGGGAGAAACCTATGGCATGGGGAGAGCTGAGAGGCTCCAGCAGCACAGGAAAGGGCAATGCGGTGGCTTCTGGGGGTGTGGCCTGGGCCACGTCTTCAGACAGGATATTCTGCACAGAAGGCCAGCAGCAGCAGAGTGTGCAGGAAAGGACTGACTTGATATTGCTGGACCTGGCAGGACAAGACTGAGGGAGAAAGGGAGGCCAGACAGGCCAGGCAGGCACTTTTGCCTGTGCCAGAAGGGGGCCGAAGTGTGGGGTCAGGTTATACCTGTGCAGAGGTGGGGGCAGCGTGAGGGGGAGATGCCAGAGCAGAGCCAGCCAGGAGGGAGATGCACAGGTGGCCTGGATTATGGGACAAACATGGATGGAAAGGGGCTGGGAATCAAGAAAAATTTCCAAGGTGGATTGGTCTGAGGTGCCTTCAGGATCCCCCAGGAGTGGTGGGGAGGAAAAGTGGCCACAAGGAAGACAGGCAAGTATAGCACCCACTACTTTCGTGTATATGTGTGTGTGTGTGTGTGTGTGTGTGTGTGTGTGTGTGAGAGAGAGAGAGAGAGAGAGAGAGAGAGAGAGAGAGAGTGTGTGTGTGTGTGTAGCAGCTTTCTCAGGCGAAGACTGTAGGGAAGGAAGAGCCAGGGTTGCAACATGGGGTGGGGTGCGGTGACTGGAGCCTGAGGGAGTCAGAGGTGGAGTGAGCCTGCCCAAGAGGCCAGGGCGGCATAGGAGGGGGACTGTGAGGTCAGGAGGGGGCTGCAGGCAAACCTCAACTGGCCCCTCCGGTGTCCTCCATCCACCCGACTCCCTGACCCTGGTACCCAGGGCCACTTCCTCTGTTCCCTTTTCCTGTCCCGTCTCACCTTTCTTGCACGTTAGGATGAGTTTGTGCCTTGCTCTTGCCTTGGCCGGGGATGTATACCTTGCTGGAGACCAGCAGAAAGGGTCAGACAGCAGCTCCTCTGGAGCAGTCACGGGAGCACCAAGCTTTGGTCAGAGGTGACCGCCCTGGCCTGCTCCAGCTGCTCAGGGAGGGAGAAGCCGGGCTGTACAGCCTCTCGCACAGCTGAAGCCTGGAGCACCCTCCCTAATCCCAGCCTGTTCTCCTGACTTACCAGGGCAGCCTGCGTGCGCCCCCGGCCCGGAGTGCGCCTCCTGCAAAAGAGTGTTTTCTCCCTACTTCAAAAAGGAGCCCATGTACCATCTGCCCTGCGGCCACCTCCTGTGCCGACCCTGCCTGGCTGAGATGCAGCGCTCCCTGCCCATGACCTGCACAGCCTGCCAGCACCCCTTCGCCAGCCAGGATGTGGTGCGGGTGCACTTTTGAGTGACCAGCCTCTGCTGGAGACGGCCACTGCTGGATGGCCCCAACAGGGGAGCAGGATTGGGGTCACCGCTCCCCTGTGGTCTGGCCAGTGACAAGCACAGAGCTGCCTGTTCTCTTTCCAGGCTTTGTCACTTCATAGTGCAGCACAGGGACGGGGTGGGGTGGGGGTTCACTTCTGCTCAGGTGGCCACAAGATAACAAAGCCATAGGCTGGAGTGGGAGGCGGGGGAAGATGTCCCTGCCTTCCTCTACCTGCCATGCCCCCACCAGCACCTACGCAGGCCCAGCACCCCTGCTGAAAGGCACCCCACATGGTCTGCACACCCCCTCCCAGCAGGGCCTGTGGAGTGGGACACGGTGGACTGCTCAGGGTCACCCAGAAGTGGACCACATGGGGCTTGGGGTGCATGACTAGCCCCTGTCCCCAGCTGGCCGACGCTCGGAGCCTTAATAAAGTGATGGTTGACATCTTCCTTGGGGAGCGTTTGGTGTCGTACTCCTGTCCTCCGTGCATCTACCAAGTCACTGTCACAGAGCAGCCATGAGCGACTGAAAGGATGACCGCTGGAGTTTCAGTCCACCGTGTGTGTGTGTGTGTGGGGGGGGGAGTCCCTGCGCGGGGCTTGCAGTGGGCATCACCGTGGGGCTGCGTAGCCTCTCTCTGCCATGTACTAGCACACTGTTCTCATGGGGACCTCCTGTGCTACCTGTGGCCCATTTCAGGAAAAATACTTGTTTATGACCTTTGTCTTTTTCTATTTAAAATTTACTTTATGGAGTCCCAAAAGGGAAAATACAAATTCCTGCAACCTTGCTTACCATATTAGATAGCTCCTAGTCACCAGAAGACTCAGAAAATATGCCACACTATCTGTGCTCTTCTGAGCACAACGGGAGAGAAGCAGCCTGCCTGCTCCTGCTTTGTCCCTGAGGTTAATGGCAAGTCTTGTGGACAGGCCCGTGTTCCTTGTCCCTTCAGCCACCCAGGGCTAGGGGTGGGATTCAGAGTTCTGCATTTGTGCTCAGGGAATCTGCATTTGTCGGAGTTCTCAGGGGATTTGTTCACAAAGGTGGCTGCAAAGAGGTGGCCACCTCCTTCCCCTCCTCACTGGCACGCACCTGGGTGCGGCCCTCGTGAGCCCTCAGGTCTGCACAGACAGCCTAGTGGGCCCTTTGGCTTCCAGTGTCTCTTCCCATGTAGGGGCTGCCTGCCTTCTGCTGTTTCTGGGAAGCCCCAGCACTCGGCGGTGTTCCTCACACCATCCCTACCCCCGGCAGCTCCATCCTCAATGCTGAGTGCTGGGAGCCTTTCTGGGCAGTGTCCTGTCTGCCCTCCCCTAGAAGCCACCTGTGGGGTCGGCATCAGCCCAGAGTGCCCAGGTGAGAGCAAAGCTTCCTCCTGTCTGGCATAGGTGCTGGAGGTGCTGCAGGCGGCTGGGGATCTGTGTTGTGTGGGGCTTCTGCTCCCCAGGCAGCTGGTGGGAAACAAGGCACGGGATGGGCAAGACCTGCCCAGACCCAGGTGGCGCCACCCCCAAACACCCCTGGAGATGTGTCCATTTTTTTCTTATTTTACAGATTCCCCTAAAAGGAAGTGCTCTTTTCACCACCCTTGCCATAAACATGCTGAGCCTCACTGGGCTCCATTTTTCTCCTCCAGGAAATGGGAATAAAATTTTTCTTGCCACCAGCTGGCCCTGAGGGCAGTTTATTTTTCACCAGAGCCTGGGGCCAGGCACAAGGCGGCTTCCCAGTAAACACGCAGAGTTCAGCTCCACTGACTGAGAAGATTCGGGGCTCCATGGCCTTGCCACGTCCCCACTGCCATCCTCAGGTCCCCGCCCCTCCTCTGACTGCTCAGGGCTTGTGTCTTCTGGAGTCTTTGACTCGATGGGGTGTGAAGCACAGCTTGAGGCTGGTGGGAGGCCCTCTGTGGGCAGGATGGTGGGCAGCTCCACTAGGCCAGAGGCCTGGGCGGCTTTGTCTCCAGATCTCCATCGCCAAGGTGCACTAAGGAAGTGTGGCAGGCGAACCTGGGGGCCCAGAGTCTCCAGTCTTTGGCTGCTCCCTGTCCTTACTTGCAGAGGCTGGGTCACATCGGCTGCCATTGCTTACAGGTGCCCCTCAAGCCTGGGCTGGCAGAAGGGAGGCCCTGTCAAAATTAGCCCCAAACGTAGAAGTAGAAGAACCAAATGACTAGAAAGAAAAGGAACAGCTGCTCAATGCTCACAGAGAATCCCGTCTCCCTGTAGCCAGGCAGCTGTGCCCTGTAGCCCCTGGGTGCCGGGGCAGAGCAGGCTCCCCTAGCCCTACACCTGCTCGGCTTCTTCCTGTAGGTCTCCAGCTTGAGGCCACTCAGCTGCTGGGCACCTTTCCATTCCCCAGGAAACGAAGGAAGTAGGTCTGCAGACAATGAGACCTGCCCCTATTGCTCAGCCTCCCCCGGTGGCATTGTGATGCCAGCCCGACTGCCATTGTGATGGCCACTGGGGCGGGGGTGAGGCTGCTGCAGGCTGGGCCCCTCCTGCAGAGCTCCTGCAGGAGCTCTGAACCAGCTCCCTGCCCAGGCCTGCTGTCACCTGGCCCCGTCTCCCAGCCCACCTGCATGTTTGGGAGGGGAGGGGTGGATTGGGAATTGGCCAAAGCTGTGCTGTCCAGTGTAGTAGCCTCTGGCCACATGTGGTTCTTGACTTAAAAGCAAATATAATTTAAGACTCAGTTCCTAGTTCTCCCAGCCGCATTTCTACAGTAGTCACAAGTGGCTGCTGTATTGGACCACGCACACAATGACCAGTTCCACCAGTTCTGCTGGTGCTAGATCAAATCGGAACTTGGTGAGACTGTCTCTGGTGAGCCCCTTATCACTATGAGCCTGTCCGTGGGAGAGGAGAGAAGACCTTACGTGGGAGGAACAGCATAGTGTGCGGAGTTGAGATGGGAGTTCCTGAGTTCTGCTTCTCAAGGCACTGGCCATAGCCTTGAGTGGCAGCCCCTGATGTGCACTCCCTTCTGTACCAAGAGCTACCCAGGGTGGCCCTGCCTGCCACTCTTAATGGCCCAGAGGTTGATACGATTCCCAGACCAGCACAGAGATGAGGTGAAGGAGGAACAAAGCCTTGGGGTGGTGGGCACATTTTTTTTCCCATGAAAGTTGCACCAATAACAAAATTACACCACCTGTAACCACACGATCAAAACATGACTGCTCTAACGTTTGGTGTTTTCCCTTCCAATATTCTCCTATAAGGAAAAAAGAGGGTTTTGTTGTTTGGGGGGACATTGTTTTTACTGTGCTGGGGATCAAATCCAGGGCCTCACACGCTTGGCCTTGTGTGTGCAGGGTGGTGGGGGGAGAGCTTGTTTGCAGAAAGCAGTGAAATAACTACTATAATAATCCAAAACAAGGGTCAAGTAGTTACGGAAACAGTGTATTATAAAAGGTGGAATCATAAATTAACAGTACAAATGGGCCTTTCAGCAAGCGTTGCTGAAGTCACTGGGAACAACAAACTGGGTAAGAATTAGAGGAAGATAACCAGGCATGGTGGTACACTTACAATCCCTGCATTCTAGGAGGCTGAGGCAGGAGGATCATAGGTCTGAGCCCAGCCTGGACAATTTAGTGACTTGGCACATCCCTATCTCAAAAAAATTTTAAAAGTACTTCAGGATATAGTTCACCAAAGGCCTTGAAATCCTCAGTACTGGGGTGGAGGGGTTACAGTAAGAGAAAAGATCAACAAATGTTCCATTAAAATATAAACATAAAACTGGGAAAATAATTTGCAACTAAAACAATTTGCAACTTGTATTACAATAGTTAAGGTCCGTAACATATAAAAATAAGACATTTATAAAGAAATGCAGATGGCTTTTTTTTTTTTTTTTTTTTTTGAGTATTTCAGATTGAGTTACACAGCCAGCTCTTTTTTAAAATATTATTTTGGGACAGTGTTATTAAATTGCC